GATAATGTTTGAGATTTTTCAAAACAAAATCCTTATACTGATTAACGCATAAACACACAGAGGGCTCGAAACTACCCACTCAACATTACTTCTGTAAATTAAGATGCCTAACGTAATTTGGGCTGTTAATGTAAAACTTAATAGTGCACCTTAAATTTTGTGAGATTTCTCCTCCTGTTTATTGGAGATATGATTCTTATGTGAAAACTATTAGAAAGATCCTACTTAGCATAAGGTTAGGGCAGTGTCTTTCGAGCTCATCGATTATGTAATTTAATAATAATAATAATAATAATAATCCTTGCATTTGATATAGCGCTTTTCACGTCGGGAGGATGTCCCAAAGCGCTTCACAGAACACACTGTAAAGTGAATTGACTATATTTGTGGGCGAACGCGGCAGCCAATTGCGCACAGCAATGTCCCACAAACAGTCGTAGATTGAAAATGACCAATTTATTATTGTTTTTGGTTTTTGAAGGATTATTATTAGGCTCTGTGTGGAGTAAGGAAACTTGCCCAAGGTTTCGCCCTCTGCCTGGAATTGAACTCAGGTCTCTCACTTACAAAGCGAGTGCTCTAACCACTGAGCTACAGGACTCCACAATTTTCTCAACAACAACAATAAAAAAATATATATATTGTCTTTGGAACTTTCAAACCATACATTGTGATGCAGTAATCAAATGTACCACCACAGAAACTAAGGCCAAATTTTAAAGCACGTACCTGCTAGGAAACATCACAAACATTACCTAATTGGACACAAAATATGACCAGTGCTAATCATTTAAATGGATGTGGTATTCCTGCCCCTCTCCCGACTCCCCCCACACACATTCCCCCTCACTTCCCACCCCCCCATACACCATAGATTTGATACATGTACATTTCTATGAACACCTGACTCTCAGTCATGTTGCCTTGTGGAAAGCTATGACTCTTGAAGTGATATAAGAGACTATGGAATGAGAAAAACCCATTTGATTTAATATCAAACTTGTCCTTTTCCACACTCACATACAATCCCTCTATCACACCTTCAACCGAACTAATTTCATCCCTTGATGCAAAATAATCTGTAACTTCTAATCTCTAGCACAGAAAAGCCTGTGAATCTAAGACAACGGTACAGAGTTACACAGTTTGAGATCCTGGAAACTCTTACCCTGAGATATATTTATGAAATGCAAGGGTTAGTATTATGTAACATTGTATTGTACATTATTCATCCATGGTTTGACATTTCACCATCATAAAAAGAAGCCAATTCCACAGGGGATGTATGTACTCAACAAACTCCTCTCTTAACTCTTTGTGTGTACAGAATAAGCAATATCATAGAGTAAATGTTCCTCATGATGCAGGACTGAGCCACACATGAGCAAGTTCCCAGACGTGTGCCCTGGTCTGTGTTGAGTTAGCTAGTCTAATCCAAGGCATGTGGGCAATGTGAAAATTGGCTAGGGCCATATTACAGCCCATCACCAACGTCAGAAATAGTTGGAGAGAAAATTAGATAAATCAAGAAGCAGTTGGTTAGGTGAGGCTAAGGCTGGTTTTTGAAAGTCCTGTAGAGGAATGGAGGATTTCCACAGGGTTGCGGTTCTGGGAAAGCATGGGTTAGAATAGGAGACTGTTCCAATGAGCTTTAATCTCACAATGAGGATGTAAGAAGAATCAAACAGCGGAATAAACTGAGGTAAATCACAATTGTACCTCTGCACTTTACCATGGCCAACGTAGTTTCAGGAGCTGTGTGGTTGGCACCTGTTGTGGTATGAATTGCTCTGGGCACCACTACATTTCTTCTAGGGATCACTTTCAAGCACTCTGGGGCACAGCCCTGCGTGAGGAGTGCTATGTAAATGCAAGCTGTTGTTGTTGTTTTTGGAGAATCAATGCAGCATCAACAAACCATTTGGCAAACGATACTTAATAGGCACTTAAAGCCAGAAGTTGGTGAAAAATGTACTGTAAATGCATGTAATAGGATTGATTCCATTTTAAGGGGTTATATTTGCTCCATATCTTTCCTCTTCTCAGGCCAAGAGATAATTTAATTACATTGTCTGATGTACTGGTCTACACAACACTCAGTTCATAGCATAATAGAACAATTAAGCTCATTTTGCAAAGCATTTCACAATGTTCTTCTATATTAAAAGGGCTATTCAATTGTAAATGTTTGCATATTAATAAATAATCCACTTAACATTGACATATTTTGATGCAAGCAGTGGTGTCGAGGAATTTCTTTTGCCAACTAAATATTCAATTGTTTGTAGAAACACATTATGGTTAAGGTAATTACCAACTGCATCACGTATTTAATCTGCGTTAATGCTAACTGCAAATTAATATATCTTGTCAATTGTAAGCAATAGTTTCTTATAGTCCATGGATTTCAGTGGCTTTTGAAAGATCAAGCTGCTTCTGCTTTTACAGAGGACGTTTCAGTTCTGCTGCTTAATTAATTGAATAAGCACAAAACGAAGTTGCCTGGTAACCACACAAGGCATAACATCATTGTAAAACAAATTACAAACCCGTTCACATGTTCGCTTTGTTACAGATCAGCCACGAAAGAAACAAGAAATTCACAATGTGTATTTTTCATGATTTCTTGTGTAACAAAATGATTAATTCACGATTAGGAAGTCCACTTTCCTGTTCAGAGCTAAGGTGAAAACATAAGGAAATGGATTAAAAATTCTGCCACTATCTAAAAAAATGATGGATCAGTCTCAAAGAAACTGAATGGCCTCCTCTTGTTCCTATATCTTATGATAAAAAGTATATGGAAGGGAAAGCTGGGGGAGGCGAGCAGTTCCCTGATCTTCAGGACTTGGGAAAAGATGAGTTAATAAAAAAAACTAATCTCATAATCTGTCATGTACAAATCACTAAACATAGTGATCGTTCCGTGTTATGTTTTTCCCCAAAAATACAGCCAATTCACTTTACAGTATATTCTGTGAAGCGCTTTGAGACGTCTCGAAGATGTGATAAGCCACTATATCAAAAGCAGGGATTGTTATTATTTAAGTTTAGAACAAGGCACTCCCATTAATGGAAATTTGCTATTTCTAGTGAATTGTGCTAAACATTGATTTTCCAACCCTCCTGCCTCTCGCCATTAACCTCTTCTTTTTCTCCCCAATACAGCTCATCCACTCTTTCTCTATTTTACTGATGGAATTCCATCCATTTCGTCTTTACTTGCCTCGCTTGTCTCCAGGAACACTGTTCTACATGCTTCTTCCTGTATCCTCATTTTTGGGATCAATCGCTAATCATTAGAAGCACCCGATATAAAAATATAACAAAAAATCACTATGTTTAACGAATGCTGTATGACAGATACCGTATTAAAACCAAGAGTTGTCACATTGCCTAGAAATTCTCACATTTATAATAACTGGAGACCTGTAGCTCAGTGGTTAGAACACTCGCCTTGCAAGCGAGACACCTGGGCTCAATTCCAGGCAGAGGGCGAAACCTTGGGCAAGTTTCCTTATTCCACACGTCTAATAATAATCCCTCTAAAAACAAAAATAAATTGGTCACTTTCAATCCATGACTGTTTGTGGGACACTGCTGTGCGCAATCGGCTGCTGCGTTTCGCCCACAAATATACAGTCAATTCACTTTACAGTCTATTCTGTGAAGCGCTTTGAGACGTCGAGAAGACCTGAAAAGCGCTATATCAAATACAAGGATTATATTATTATTATAACTAGAAGTGGTCCATTAGATCATCAATGGAAATCATTTAAATATTACAAAATAATAATTTGGTCACTCAATCCACAACTGTTTGCGGGACACTGCTGTGCATAATTGGCTGCTACATTTCATCCAGAAAACACACAGTGACTACACCTTATAGTGGATCCTGTGAAGCACTTTGAAACGTCTCGAAAAAGTGATAAGGCACTATATCAAATGCATGGATTATTATTATTATTACCTCTCTTGGTATCCCTTTCTTCATACAATGAAGATATGAACATAGGAACAGAAGAGGTTGTTTTTTCCATTTTGTTGGCTATGGCAGATATTTTAATCCCATTTCTTTTCCTTATACCTTACACCTCAAAAATCTATTAATCTTTCATTTAAACATCCTAATTGTTTCCGTTTCGTTTTCTGTCACAAAAGACTTAACATAAAATGGAAGGATTATTATTGTTATTATTTTAATGGTTGTTTTATCAATCAGGAAATCAGAATACCAGTTACATACATCAAATAAATATTTTGGATAAACTATGATTTAGATTCTGCTTCTCGTGTTTTAACAGGGAAATACAGCCAGCAAAATCATTTACACAGGGAACAGATCATGAAAATGACTGAAAATTGTATTTCACTTTTATGCAATGTTGCTTCTTTCATGTACAGTTCAGGCTGTGTGTAAATCAATGTCTTTTGTGTTAATATGGATGAGAGAAGTTTTGGATATTAACATGGATGAGTCTTTAAAACGATGCTTCTGTCTAACGATTACATTCTACCTCTCAATAGAGCTCCTTTGTTGCTTCATCCCCAGTATCTTCCCCATCTCTTTCATATCCTCTCCCTAACACAAGTGCTCACAGCAGCTTATTCCAGTTACAGGCGCTATCTCCTCTCATCCTCCCACTCCTCCAAAGCTTGCTTCTCAATCTTTATTCCAGATATAATTTATACATATTATTTCATCCACTCAGCAAACGTGTGTCTCCATGCACTCTCCGGCCAATATCCCTGGTTCTTTGCTCAAACTGAATGTCTTCATTGTCTTATAGCACATTGGCCTCTGATCTTATAAGTCTTATTTGCTGTTCATGTGAGGTAGTATCCTTGATTGACAGCTGCATTATTGTAGCAGCACCATGGTTTTTCCAGGTGAAGAATGCAAAGCAGGCCATCATTAATTGTTCACACATTTTAAGAAGCATTCTCCACTATAATTAGCAGTTGTAATGAGTGCCCTTGTCAGATCCATCGTTGCTCTACACAGAAACAAGTTTTCCACGTTGCCGGATGTAACTGGGAGTAGATCAGAGAATATGAGAAGTAATCATTTTTGAAGAGCACTTTCTGCTACAGTGTAAGTATAAGAACCTCCTGCAATTTAGTGACATTTCAGCCTCTTCTTAAAGGGAAATATACACATGAATGATTCTTAATAAATTTCAACATTGACCTTCACGAATAGCAGGTCCTGCAAGTTCTAATCAATCCTGACGTTCATATCCTTCAGGCAATTTCCAGTTTCCAGGTTTTATTTCCATTCAAATTCCATTTAGTGTGCAGCGATTGATGTTCCAGAGTCTGGAGCCATTGTTCGAGTTCTACTTTACGGAATAATGATTGAATTAAGTAGATGTTCCACAACGCCCGCTTACCAAAAACAATATCACCTGTGGAAATCTTTCAGACCGGCATGTATCAATTGAAGGTGGGGATTGAGTTCACATCCACAGACAGCCTTTAGGAATCAATTTTTAAGTGAAATGTTTCAGACCAGCTTCAATGTGATAATTACAATGTGTCTGTTCCGAAACATCAGAGTTTTCATTCCAACCAAGGGTTTGAATAGGAACCAAGCAAAATACTTTCAAATAAAAGGATTCAGGAGACAGAAAGCAAGAAAGAGTCAGAATTTAACTCTGTTCTCTCGCTCTTTGTTGTCCAGTGTGAGAAAGCTAGACTGTTCTATAGTGAGGTAGTGCTCAGCATAGCATAATATATTATCCCGCAAACTGCCATGAGGTGAATTAATTCATTTGGTGGATTGGAAGAGGCTTTGAAGATGCAGTTATAAAGAGAATATCTAACATGAACTCTATTAAAACGGGAGGTTAAAAATGAACAAGCTTGAAGCAAAAGTAGAACAGATATCTGAATTTATTTTCAAAGAGCACTGGACACATGGACTGACTTCCACAAAAAGCTCTGTTAATTACAAGCACACATCGATAAGCTTACATATCTGGCACAGTTCCCTGGATAATGATCAGGATAGGGAATCTCCATTCATTTCCTTCTCCCTTGTTTCAGGGGTCCATAACGGAATTGCAGTTCAGTTCTGACGAAAGGTCATCCACCTGAAACGTTAACTCACTTTCCTCTCTCCAAAGATGCTGTCTGACCCGCTGATTGTTCGCAGCGACTTCTGTTTTTATTATGGAATTGCAGTGCCCACATCACTCCGGTGATCAGAAGCAGGATTTCCCTCTCCCTGGTTCAGAGACCACATGCCCTATTGTAAGACTCGCCAAACACACTTTCCCATGTAAGATCAAAGAGCTGAATATCCCCCTAGCCTTAAGCCAGTAAGGGTATTTTGCTTAAATTTAAAATTGCACAAAATTGTGGAAAATTCAGCCTCAGTTCCGAAGCCAGTTTCTGTTTACGAACTGCAGAAATCAGCTTCCAAATTAAGACTGTATTTAAGAATGTTCTTAAAGCTTAGGAAAAAATCGTCTTGCACTAGGCTAAAACTAAGTGGAATTCTGGGTCTACAGTTACTCAGCACAGACTCGGATTCAATTGTATAACTTCACCACTGCCTATTGAGCATTCACAGTAGGCACATAAACAATTTACTTACAGACATAGAAAGAATAGCTCCTATAATTTAGAAATGTCTCAGAACACTTTACAGTAATTACTACCATGTGTGGTGACTTGTTTTATAGGTAAACAATATGCACTATATGCACAGCTAAGCTACTTTAAGATGTCAATTGACATTAGAGCCATTAAATCAGTCATCATAGAAATTCATGATTATAATTCACTGTAGAGGGTAAATTTCCTTATATTACACTGTATAACACATTACATGTTATTTTGTGTACAGTATAGTTGGACTATCAAAAGCAAACCTGGCATTGTCCTGTATTGTAGTAGTTAGCACTCTCGCCTTGCAAGCAAGAGGACCTGGGTTCGATCCTCGGGCGGGCGAAAACTTAGGCAAGTTTCCTTACTCCACACGCCTCTGTTTACCTAGCAGTAAGTAGGAACTGGTTGTTAGTCGATTAGCGGATTGCTTTCCGGGGGTACTAATCCCTCCCAATTTTTTAAAAAAATAATAATTTGGTCACTCCAACCACGACCGTTTATGGGACACTGTTGTACGCAATTGGCTGCCATGTTTCATCCACAAAAAATATACAGTCAATTCACTTTACAGTGCATTCTGTGAAGCGTTGTGAGACATCTCAACAACGTATCTAACATTAAAACATCTCCGGGAATTGCTGTAAAAGTGTAGTGGCTTTGTATTTCTAGAGAACCGCAACAGCCAGTTTTTACAGAGCAAGGTCGCACAAACAGCCATGATGTGAAAGAACAATTTATATCTGAATGATTGTTGGTCAGGACACCTGGAACAATTCCTTTATCTTTATCTTAATGAGAAAGACCTCATGCCACTAGTTCAAAGGAAAAGGGAATTTTTCCACTGGGTCTGCTTGATTTAATATTTCATCTGAAGTACTGCACCTACAACAATGCAACTTTCCTCAGTTTTGCCGCTGAAGTTTCAGCCTGGATTGTGAGCTCAAGTCGCAACATAAAGACTATCAGTTCCATTATTTTTAGAAAGTAAGAACTTGCATTTTTATGGTGCTGTACTTGTCAAAACATCTCAAAGTATTTCACAACATATTGCTGTCAAGTATAATAACTGCTTTAATACCTTTGTGATATCAGTGTAATAAACTCTCTGTAAAGAGGCCACATCTACTTTCCAGATTTCTTCCTCTTCTGTCGACAAAAGGGTCAAAACCTATGAGTTACATAACCATAGTCTATTTTGTAAGGACATGGACCCATTAGAAATGTATCTATCACAGAAGTTTTGGGAAAAACACCAAAATAATCCTTGTCAATCACAAACCCTCCTGGGAATTCATACCTTTCACCCCACTTCCAAAGGTTATTATATATTTCCATTGGAACCTGACTGACCTCTGAAACTCATAGAATCATCAATTTGCACAAAGAGAAGAATTGAGCAGTGTTCGGCATCCATTTTTTAAACAACTTTAACCCCCAAAACCTAGTAATAGTGTAGCCTGAAAATTAATAATCAAATAATAATTCTTGCATGTGATACAGCGCTTTTCATGTTGGGAGGAAGTATCAAAGTGCTTCATAAGATATACTGTAAAATGTACTGACAATTTATTTTGCAGGTGAACATGCTAAGGTGCTGTAATTATAATAATAATAAATCTTGCATTTGATATAGCGCCTTATCACGTCTTTGACGTCTCAAAGTGTTTCATTCAACTCTTCAAAGGCAGTTGTTGCTAAAACTTTAATTTCCAAATCTGATCCAATATTTATTAACCTGCTCACTGGTTCAGTTCAGCCACTCCATTCCTCCTCTTTTAGGTATATGTTTACAGTAATCGATCTGCTGTACCATTACCTTTGTGTTCATCTTCCCAACTACCCGCAGCATGCCCGAAGACTGGCATCAGCCTTGTGCATGGCATGTGCAGTTGGTAAGATGATAAGGGTGCCAAGTCTGTGCTCCTCAACTTGCAATCACTCTGACTCTAGCTTTTGCGCTTACAGAAAGCCGTTTTGAGCAAAACCGTATTATGGTCATCTAATGTTGTACTGTGGTACACATTTGGGTTTTGGATGAAATGTTAAAGGGTGCTGTCTGCCCATTCTCATGGTAGGGTGCCAGTTAAAGATCTCACATCATTATTTGGAGAAGAGCAAGTTCTCCTGTTGTCCAATATTCCTCCCCTCACCAAAACTCACCACATCAATTGTTCAGCTCATCGTGGTGTGGAGGAAATTACTGGCACAGATTATCTCATAGATTTCCCTACATAACAAAAGTCAAACTAGCTCATTGTGTGAAGCACTTTGAAATGTTTCAACGTGATGAGGTAGTGTATCAAATGCAGGAATTATTATTACATAAATAGGCCCATGGAAATGTTAGTGGAGGAGATGCAAGCTCCTCAGACATCAACCAAACCATATCCTTGAATACCTTTAATTACCGCCCTCCACCCATGCACACACACACCACACACACACACACACACACAAACGACTGTCATGTAATTCATTTAAATCCTTTACCTACTCTGCTCTCATAAAACAAAAAACTACTGTCCTGATTACAAAACAGACAAGTGTTTCTTTGTTAGTGTGGCAGCAGATTACAGGAAATGTCAGACTCCCTGAGACAAACACTTAACCATGAATGTTACAGAAGCAGCTGCTGTGATAAAACAAGACAGATACCAAATGAAACACTTAAAATTACCTCCCACACTATATTATTCCATTCTTTTCTCATATTCCACCTATTCTATACCATGGAACCTGTTGCTTCTATCTGCCATGGTTTCTTGTCTTGTAAATGACGTAGACACTGAAGGAAAAATTAAGTATGTGATGTGATTATTGTGCCAGTTTCATGAGCATCCAGTTCTGTGCCCAAGTAGCGCTTCATCAATTATGAGCCTAGACGGAGAGTATTAACAGCCAATGTGACTGTGAGGCTATCACTGCCAATAATGTCTCCATATAACGTCCATAAATGTGATCATTAAACATGATCATGAGCTAGAGCCCTGTTTGAATTGCCCATTCTTAGGACAGAAGCCAATCGTAGCTTTACAATTGTTATCCCAATGGAAGATCAATTAGCATTATGTTCAGATATGCCAAGGGAGCATGACAAAACAATACATATTCAGGGGTACGAAGGGCATATTTGCAGATTCCAAGAAATATTTCCTGATACAGAAGTATCAACAATTGGCATGTGTTATGTGTTACCAGGAACAGGCAGATGAGGGCAGGTCTCATTCAATAAACACTTAATGCTGTAACAGGAAGATGGTGTAGTTGATAGGCTGAAAGGATAAGATCAAACCCTGTGATACAGTGACCTTAGCACAATCTGGGAAACAAACCTGTGATATTCCAGATCTGTCTGGTACCCCAACCACATCATGCCAAATCTTGGCCAACTGCACCCCTGTGAACAAAAGACCAGTTGTAATTGGGTTCCGATAGTGAATTTGTTTTTCCAACTTTAAATTTACAGATTACACTTTAGGAATGGGGAAAGTTTCACTGAAAAGAAGCAATGGGCATGTCAATCCCACCATTCACTGAGTTACCTTGGGTTTCACATTACTATTAGCAACTGTGATAGATTTTGGACTGAGCTCTTGATCCTGGACAGTTTTGGAGAAGGTTACTATGGAAACCATGTCGCCTCCAATATCAACCTGAGCCCCCCAACGATGGCACACAATAATCTTCTTCAACGCTCGTTGAAAATCATGATTAAGGAAGGCATAGAGCATGGGATTAATGGTGGAGTTACAATATCCAAACCAGGTGATAATTTTGAATACCAGATGAATTGCATTGTTGTTTGGCTCTGCACCACATACAGCTATATAGACATTGAATACAAAGTACGGGAGCCAGCACAGCACAAAGACAGATATAATGATGCTCATTGTCCGTGTGGCCTTATTCTCCAGTTGCAGACTGTTCTGACGCTTGCTTTTGGGATGGTAGTGGATATCGAGGGCTTGAGACATGATGCGTGCTGCTTTCAGACGTGAGGCACGGTATATGAAGAAGTACATGGTGCACATGATCAGGAACGGGATGTAGAAAGCCAGTGCCGAGGCCACGATGGCGAATGTCCGGTTTGTCACGAAGATACATTCTCTCTCAGCATCAAAATCCACCCCTGGGATCTCGTTCCAACCCTGCATGACCGGCAGGAAGGAAATCATGGAAGAGTAGACCCAGATGGCAAGGGTCATTAATATGCACCTGGGTGAAGATTGAAAAAGGGAGAAAATAGACTGAAAAAGGGGTCAATGGGGCTTATACTTATGAATTAACTTACCTTGGAAGTAAATAAGAAATATATAGGAAGTTAGGAAAAGTCATTGGGCCAATCAAAACAACCATTGCATGGCACTATGCAGTGCTACCTCTCTGAGTGATTTCCCTGTCCTCCTCAATACAGTCTTCTAATACCATGTGGATCATGTGCTTGCTGCTCATTATCAGAAAGCAATTAACACACTGTAGCTAGCAAACAGCAATTGTCCCATTGTAATCTCAAAGAGGTAGAAGTGCTAAAAATTGGCCTTATTTAAGCAGGTGAAATCAGTCACAGCTTCCACACTTGTCTGCCGTGCTACCACTATTGCATGAATGTATGCGAGCAAACTAATAATCCTTGCATTTGATATAGCACCTTTCAGGAGGATATCCCAAGCATTCATTGTAAAGACTGTATTTTGGCAGCTAATTTGTACACAACAACGTCACACAAACTACTATGAAGTGAATAACAATTCTGTTCGGGGGATTGTTGGCCAAGGACAGCAGGAGAAACTCCCTTCTGTTTTCAAATTGTGCCATTGGATCTCGAATGTCAATCTGAACAGGCAGATGGGACCTCGGTTGAACATCTCGTCCCAAGGACAGAACACCTGCCAATGCAAACCACCCCCCCCCCCCCACCCCCATCCCCACTCCACACCCCCATCCTAGCAGTGCACTGGAGTTTCAGTCTAGATCAGTGGTGGCCAATATGTGGCCCTGATGGCTTGAATTAAGAAATATTCAATCAAAAAAAAATTATTTTGTTGGCCAACCAAAAAGGTTGACCACCAATGGTCTAACCCAACAGTTTTTAAAAAGAAACTAGCTTCCAAATTGAAACTAAATTAAAGAATTTTCTACACTTTTGCATGATCTAAAATTTCAAGACATCACAGTCATTCAGGCTAAGGCAAAGCAGAACTGAAGAGTAGGACATCTCATGATTTGATAGCTCTCACAGATGAAAATCTGGAGTTGTGGAGTCCTGTAGCTCAGTGGTTAGAGCACTCGCTTTGCAAGCGAGACACCTGGGTTCAATTCCAGGCAGGACGAAAGCTTGGACAAGTTTCCTTACTCCACACAGAGCCTAATAATAATCCCTCCAAAACAAAACAATAATAAATTGTTTATTTTCAATCCACGACTGTTTGTGGGACATTGCTGTGCATAATTGGCTGCCGCGTTTCGCCCACAAATATCATGTCAATTCACTTTACAGCATATTCTGAGAAGCGCTTTGAGCCGTCGAGAAGACGTGAAAAGTGCTATATCAAATGCAAGGATTATTATTATAATATATGTATTATTATTATAAAACTGTCGCATCACGTACCACATTTTTCACCTCCAGTTTAGTCAACTTCTTAAAATAAACACAAAGCACTTTTATCATCTGATTATATTAGCTCAAACACGCCACCATGTCAACCATGAGTAAAGAGCAATCTTGCGCTGATGCCATTAATCACAGGCTGTGGGGCGTGCAGGGAATTGGAACTAGGATTGCTTTTAGGACAATATCAGACTGTTATAAGGTTATTTGAGGCATGCAAGGCTTGAGATTAACACGGACAGCCATTAATTATCATTGTAGATGGAATACAGCAGTATTTAATCCCCTGGGTGTTCTGCGGAGTGGAGCACTATATAATTCACAATGAATAAACATAAAATGTTTAAAGCCTTCTGGTTAACCAGTGAATGTCAATAATGCTGTGACCAATTATAATTGCTTTAAAGCTACATAGCAAATAAACTGTGCTACAGGCTTGTCTCATAATACGTCCATAATGAGGCATGTGCAACAAAGAATTTGGATAAAATTAGGTTTATTCGATGGCTCAGCTGATAACTTCATTGCGTGATATATAACCAATCTACGTAGAATAGGTAGGTCACAGATTCAAATTCTCCAGTCCATGTTGAGTTAGCTAAGGATCACCAGGGCATGTTAGAGAGATTTTCATTGAGGTGTTTCTCAAATGTAAGGATAATTCTTATTATGTCTGCGAGTCATTTCTGTTGCAGTGCCCTTTTAGGCAAATTGCCACAGGAAAGAGCCGGCACAGACTCGATGGTCCGAATGGCCTCCTTCTGTGCCGTAACATTCTATGAATCTATGAATCTATGAAAAAAATTGTACCAGGCTGCATTTTAAAAATGAAAGTTGATTTACCATAACACAATACAATAATAAGCCTTATATTTGATAGAGTGCCCTTTACAATGAGCGTCCACCTAAATAGACAGATGGAACTTCAGTCTAATGTCTCATCAGAAGGATGGCACCTGCAATGATACAGCACACCCCCAGCATAGCATTGAAGTGTCAGACTGGATTATATAGTTCCATATCCCGATTTGGGGCTTGAACGCACAACTTTCTGATTTAGAGCCGAGAGTGTTACTAATTGATCTAAGCTGATACCCAGATGCATTTTGATCCAGCAGTAACACATACAGCACTTGAAAAGAAAGACCTTCCATGTTATAGCACACCAAAAAGTCTCAAAATGCTTTATAGGTAACTATTGGCAAGTATATAGAGTGATTGTTTTTGTAGGCAAAACGTGTAGTCGTTTTTGTACATGGAAATGTCTCACGTACTGCCATGATATGAATGGCCAATTACTCTGGATGATAGATGGCTAGAACACCAGGAGAAACTCTTCTCTTTTTATATAATGTCATTGGATAAATTATATCCACTGGACAATAGGCACACCCTTTATTTAAGGTCCCATTCAAAGCTCTGACTATCCAGAGCTTCAACTTGAATTGTAAACTCAGAGATGAGAGTGCTACTGATTGAGCCAAACTGTCACAATCACTTTTTTGATAACAGACAGTGGATGAACAGTGCCCCACAATGGAAAGTGTAACCGACTGAAAGCAGATGTTGCTTACCTCCTCCGGGTCATCCTCTTGGGATAGTGGTGTGGAGTAGCTACAGAGCAGTAACGATCCAAGCTAATGAAGCACAGGGTAACGATAGAAGCTGTGCAGAACATTACATCGAAAGAGATCCACACCTTGCAGAACAGCCGTCCAAACAGCCAGATCCCAGTCACCTCGTAAATGATGCTGAACACAGAAACAGAATAAGCCTCAACACACTGGATTCCTTTAAATCACAGCAGTGGATATAATAATAATAATAATAATAATAATTCTTGCATTTGATATAGTGTCTTATCATGTCTTTGAGACGTCTCAAAGCGCTTCACAGAATATACTGTAAAGTGAATTGACTGTTTATTTTGTGGGTGATACGCAGCCAATTGCACACAGCAGTGTCCCACAAACAGCCGTGAATTAAAGTGACCAATTAACTTTTTTTTTGGAAGGAATTATTACTGGAAAAGTGATCCACCAATTGACAAACAACCAGGTTCCTGCTTACTGTTAGCTAAGCAGAGGCATGTGGAGTAAGGAAAGTTGCCCAACATTTTGCCCTGCCGGGAATCAAACCCAGGTCATCTTGCTTGCAAGGTGGGTGCTCTAACCACTAAGCTACAGGACTCCACATAGGATGCTCAGAATGTTGAGCACATAGGATGAAAATGTGATGTGTGATGTGATAATTAGTGCTGGCGATAATCCTAACTCAAGATATTATCAGATCACTGGATAGTCAGCACCTGGCAAGGTTCCATCAATGAATGACTCAGAGAAGCTGCCATCAGGTCAGTAGTACTGCAAGTAGCTACGGACGCAACAATTTTAGGAAAGTCTGAGATGGTGGAAGCAGTGTTTACCCACTGTAGTTATTGAATAGAACATCTCCAGTGTTTGTGCCATGATATGATTATCACATTTCATATATTTTTTGACCCCACGTATTACACTCCCAACAATGCATTGTCAGTTTTGTAATAATTAATGGATTGATAAATCAAGAAATCTGAGTGAGAATTTCTCCCCAAGTATATCATTCTCAACACTCTGATCTGAGGAGTGGGTTGGAGCAGCATTCCTGTAATTTGGGATCTCAGATTTCCATATTAGAAAATGCCACAAAGAGTTAAGGAGGAAGTAAAATTGTTCCATTCAGAAAATTATTGCAACATTGAATGCTTTGCTATGAATGACTATTGAAACTAAGAGAATGGGATCTAATCTTTGATACCTGCCTTGGTTGTTCCAACGCCCTCCTTGCTGGTCTCCCCCAGCTGCACCATTCATAAAATCCAATTAATTCAAAACTCTGTTGCCCATATCCTCATCTTGTCCTCCTTGAGGGGGAGGAGAGTGGGGTCACCTTGGAGCTGAACAGGCCTTAAGGCAAATTGTTTGGTAATGGAATTTCAGAATCAAGTCAGCCCTCTGTGGCGGTCTCGGTGGTCCGGTTCCTGAGCCAGGTGAGCCCACAGTATTCCAGAGCATTACTAATGAAAGCATAGTCCTGCAGTAAGCAGGACTTGGCAGGATAGACCAGTCACTGGGGTTAGGGCATCATCCCACACCCTGTTACCCTGCAAGCCAAAGTCCTAAGTTGGACAAGCTTGCCACACAGCGATATCAATGGCAAGCTATGGGGTATTAGCTGGTTGGAATCCAGCAGTAACCCGATGCAAACTCTGATCAAGGGCGAGTTTCCTTACTCCACACGCCTCTGTTTAGCTACCAAACTCAGTACCCCTTCAGCGCTTTGGGACGTGCTCCCGACGTGAAAGGCGCTCCATAAATGTAATTTTGTTGTTGTTCCACATGCATGGAATTCTCAGCTTGGTTTGAATATTCTTAGGCATGGTGGTGGTTTCTGCATGTATCAGAAAAAAAAATCCTCATCTACACTAAACTCCATACCCCCAGATTTTGCCAGGCTCCATTGGCTCCCTATTGTGAAACTGATTGATTTCAAGATTTTCACATTCCTGTACAAATCACTTCATGCCTTGGTACCTCTCTATCTCTCTGATCTGCTGACACCCCATTCCACTATCCGCTGCCGTGCTCAGCTGGCTCTGAGTATCTGGACCATGCTTATCCCCTCCTTACTATCATCAGTGGCGGTGGTTTCAGCCGCTATGCCCTAAAACTATGAACTTCCTGCCACAAACCTTAACTCCTCCCTGCCAAACTTCAGATCATAGCTGAAGACCTTCCTCTTCGACTGTGCTTACAGTCACCTCCACCATTTCTCCAGCTTGGCATCAAGCGCCATCACTGTTAAGCACTCTGAGACCCTCCTGAAGAGCACTATGTAACAATAATTATAATCTTTGCAATTGATATAGCGTCTTATCACATCGTTGAGCCGTCTCAAAGCGCTTCACAGAATAAATTGCAAGTGAATTGACTGTATTTTGTGAGTGAAACACAGCAGTGAATTGTGCACAGCAGTGTCTCAAAAACAGTCGTAGACTGAGTGACCAAATTATGCTTTAATAATTTTTTTTTGAGGGGATTATTTCCCCCCAGAAAGCAATCCGCCAATCAACTGCCAGGTTCCTACTTAGTGCTGCGTAGCAGAGGCGTGTGGAGTAAGGAAACTTGCCTAACGTTTCACTCCGGATCGGGAATATAAATATAGATAATAATAATCCTTGGATTTGATATAGCGCATTTTACGTCTTCTTGACGCTTCACAGAATATACTGTAAAGTGAATTGACTGTATATTTGTGGGCGAACGCGGCAGCCAATTGCGCACAGCAGTGTCTCACAAACAGTCGTAGATTGAAAATGACCAATTTATTATTGTTTTTGGTTTTGGAGGGATTATTATTAGGCTCTGTGTGGAGTAAGGAAACTTGCCCAAGGTTTCGCCCTCTGCCTGGAATTGAACTCGGGTCTCTCGCTTGCAAAGCGAGTGCTCTAACCACTGATACAAATACAAAATGTAAAAATTCAGAAAGTCCTATAAAATGGGCATCAGTTTGTTGTGTCAGTTCTGAGATGCCCCCTTTCACAAGGAAAAAGGAAAATGACAAATAAAAGACAAAAGGACCTTAACTGAATTTAATTCACATGGTGTTTCAAGCTTAAAGTCTGAAGCTTACTGTCTGTTTGTACTAGATGGTGAAAATGCTTCCATGCTCTTGATCACCTCTACAGATAGCAGCTGAACTCGTCACCTTCATAATAATTGCACTGGGATCCTGTAAGGCTGACCACCGATACTTAGTACTGACGAAAAAATAATCTTAGCTTTGACTCAAACTCACCTGAACGGCATAACCAGGCAAGCAACCAGCAGATCTGCCGTGGCCAGAGATAGGATGAACATGTAAGTCACTGTCCTCAGTCTCTTTTCCAAAGCCGGGCAGATGAACACAATCGTGTTCCCCAGGAAAGTCACCAAGTCTACAATGATCAATATGGTTCCCACCAGCGCCTCCCGACTGGAGATGTGGATGTGGGAGACATTCCCAAACCCAGAAGGAACCGCAGGAGAAAGGCTACAATTTTCTTCCCACGACAAACACATGATTCATCTTGTGCAAGCCTGGAAAGACATACAATTATATTGCAACAGATCAGATTCAGCGATGATCCGCACAGTGTGAGTGCTGTAACGCTGGAGCCCGCAGCTTTATCATTGAACTGTCACTATGTGAGCATTCACCAATGATGCAAAAATAAGCAACACTTGTTCTTACCTTATTATAATAGTAGATAATCCGATCGCAAACGTTGCACTTTCTCTGTGAGGATGCACATTGTGTGTAGAGCAAAAGCTGTGTGTCGGATCCAACCTTTGTCAAGTAACACAGGAGGGTCTTTTGAAGCTGACAGATCGTTTAAGGAGCATGTGTCGAGGGCATTGTTTTGTGAAGACACTGATTTTCTACCAACTTAGCCTGGATTAAATGGGCGCATTTATAGATGAACTCTTGCAAACAAGCCGAGCCCATGACCAATCACGGATAAAAAAAACACAGCCACATCAACAGCATGCACCCTGTCAATGAAACTCGGTTTAAAGGGTTGATGTTCCCTCCTTGTCACACACATCTCATACCCCCCGTTACCCACAGCTAAACTGCACGCAGAGCAAACATTTGAAACAACCTGAGTAGATGTTTCAGATTTTGTGGGAAGTGTTTAATGATTGCAAAAAAAAATTATTGTCGGCTTCATGTGTGTAGTTGCTGTTAAAATTGTAAGCACAGGAAAAAAAACCTGGATGTGAGAGGCATCTCCTTATTCGCTGAGATAATTGCAGACTGGAGGGTCTCATTCACCTGTAAATTAAAACCGTAAACAGGCAATAATTAAGTCTTTTTTATTTTTAACTCTCGTTTGATCATGTCTGCCGAATTCAAGAATTTCGCCACAATTTGCATCTCTCCAGAGGCAATTTAACTCTGGTTTTACATCTACCCGGGTTATATATTGCTGTATAATTGACGTAATGGTTGTTTGTGGGACATTGCTATGCTGCCTTGGTGGCCTGTTTAATACAGTCACTACACTTTACAGTCAAAAAACAACGTTGTCTTTTGAGGCATCCTCCCAATGTGAAATAAATCCAAGGATTATGTTTGTCAACTTCTAAGATAACATACAGGAAACCTGTAGCAATATCTCACAAACCTCCTAATTCCTGACCAGGCACCTCTGGTTCCTCACCCAATTAGCTAAAAAATATTCATAAAAGATAAGTTATCCATACATTTTTATATAGCATCTTATCACATCTCTGAGATTTCTCAAAGCACTTCACAAGAATTATAATAAAAATAATAATCCTTATGTTTCATATAAGCACCTGATCACATCACCTAGATGTTCTCAAGGCACTTCACAGGATATACTGTAAAAGGTGACTGTGTTTTGTGGTTGAATGTGGCAGCCAAGTTGTGCACAGCTATGATTGCAGTCACTACACACTGAACCTCTGGAACACACTTCCTCTCTCCCTTCGCCTTGCCCCTTCCTTCCCTATTTTCATGTCGCACCTGAAGATCTTCCTATTCGACCGTGCCTATGGTCACCTCCCCCTCATCCCCGGTTCGGAGTCATGTTCCTCCACTATCAAGCACTCTGGTATACTAACCTGCTTGACGGGTGCTATATAACAACAACAAGATTGCATTTATAGAGCGCCTTTCACGTTGGGAGGACACTCCAAGGCGCTGGACAGTTGGGTCTGGACCCGAGCAGGGGGGAAATGGTCAGGGTGAGCATGGTGAGGGGAGGGAAGGGAGGGAGCGAGGAGAGGGTAGAGAGTCGAGAGGGGAGCTGAAGGCACGGTTGAAGAGAAGGTCTTGAGACCAGCCTTGAAGGAGGAAAGGGAGGAGGCGGCGAAGGCACTGGGGGATGAAGTTCCAGAGCCTGGGGGCTGAGAGTCAGAAAGCCCGGCCACCAATGGTAGGGCGGTTGGGGCGGGGGATGTGGAGCAGACCGGAGCCAAAGGAATGGAGGGTATGAGCAAAGTAAGTAGGGGGATAATAGGTCAGAGAGGTAGGAGGGAGCAAGGCCGTGAATGGCCTTGTAGATGAGGATGAGGATCTTGAATTCGATCCTCTGGGGGATGGGGAGCCAGTGGAGGCGAGCGAGGGTGGGAGTGATGTGGTCCCGAAGCCTGGTGCGGGACAGTACACGAGCTGCAGAGTTCTGAATGACCTGCAGCTTGTGGAGGGAGGGCCGGGAAGGCCGACGAGGAGAGTTCCCGTCGTCCAGCCTTGAGGTGATAAAGGTGTGGACCAGAGTTTCAGCTGCGTGAGGGGTGAGGTAGTGCCGTTGTCTGGCAATGTTCCGGAGTTGGTGGAAGGCGGTGCCAGTTGTGGCGCGGATGTGGGGAAGAAAGGACAGCTCAGGGTCGAACAGAACCCTGAGGTTCCTGATGGTTTTGAGCATTGCGGGGGCTGGAGAAAAAGCCGTTTGCAGAGACAAAATGAAGACGGTAGGAGAGGTAGGACCTAAAACACTCAAGGACAGGGCCTTGAAGGTTGAGGTGGGAGGACAAGCGGTGCAGGAGGATAGAGTGGTCGACTGTATCGAATGCGGCCGATAGGTCGAGGAGGACGAGGAGGCAGAGGGAGCCCTGGTCGCAGATGGTCAAGATGTCATTAGTGACCCAATACTGCACTAGAATGTCAACCAAGACTGTGTATTCAAGTTTCATCATCAGGGCTTGAACTTACAACTTTCTGGTTGTGAATAGGCTGTCTCCTTTGCCCCAACAGCCCCAGTTACTCTACTTTACAATATCTCCTGCGAAGCCCTTTGACACGTCCTCCTAACATACAATGCTTTATATTAAAGTACTATTAACTGAGCCAAGATGACATCTCCTGGGGTTACAATCCCTAGCAGATGTCATCCCAATTTTTAACTTTAATGGACATACTCTGCCCTTGTTTTGTATTCAATTTATAAGATGGATAAGCTGCTATTTGTATTCCTAGAAGGAAACAAAGGTAATCAGTGTTAATATCATTCTGCTTAAGAACAAAGTTGTTCATCAGTAAAGGTTCTTAATGGATTCATTAGTGAGCAGCAGAACAAACTCTTCTCCAATGCACTGCATACACACAAGTTCAGAAGGTTACAATTCACAGTACCACACTCTTTTTATCTAGAAGCTCAATGCAGTTACAAGCTTCAGTCAGGCAAGTACCCTTATTATTGGCTTTCTCTCTTAGCCAGACCTTTTAAATTTGCTTCCCACCCACTTTCTCCTGTCATTTTCCATCATTGATTTCCAAAACAGGTCAGCTATGACCTCAGTGAGACTTCCAACAACTTACAATTATACAGTGACTTTGAAGACAGATTGTCATAGCTAAGTGGTTTACAAAGGTGAAAGGCAGGGATGGAGTGGGTGGAGATTGAGGCCTTTCACCATTCGTGAACAATATACACCTTTAATTGGTTTTGGAAAGCAGGGAGAAATAAACAAGATGGCCTGAGTTTTGTTTACGCTCAGCTGAGGGAAGCTAAGGCTCAACCGAGATACGATCTTCGACAGGCAGTCAATTTGAAAAGGAAGAATCTTAGAATCAAGACTGGAAGTGGAGCGATAATGCTTGCTATCATCAGCATGTATGTGGAAGGTTCTGGTTCTGTAAAGTCTCAGTAATCTTCTGGTTTTCTGTCCCCATGAGTTAGTCCGCAAGCACTCTGGGACACTATCCCACATGAAGGGTGCTATATAAATGCAAGTTGTTGTTGTTAGTAAAATAAATTACTAATTAAGCACAACAATGGGTGTCCTCTAATGGCTCAGCTGTTAAGTGCACAACCTCATGTGTATCTGAGCCATAACTTTCAAGAAGGTTCAACGTTTGAATCCTGCTCTGTGCTGAGCTGGTTAATCTCAGTCAGGAGATGCCATGATTACCCTCATTGCCCTCTAGATAAGTAAGTGGGGAGAAGTGGTTTCCCATTGCTGATCGCTCTCTGGAGATCACTGCTGGAAAGTATTTTTTGTATCAGTGGGTGTCTCACACATGTGGAAACCATCACCTTGTTTAACAGAATACAAACCAGACTGAAAGTTCAACATACGTAAGTAAGTCACCTGAATATGGAAATGTCCCTGTGTCTGGACAGAATGTACACCCTCTCAGTTGGAAGGTGTGGACATGCAACATCAGGTGAGGGCAGGATAGGGTTAAGTTGTGATAAAAAAGGTGAATAATCCTTCTGGGCTCATATGTGAAGAATGATCATTTGGATCAAAGCAGAACAGCCATCTAAATATACCACAGTATGAATTATAAAATCATAGAATTTATAGCATAGCCCAATTTACCTGTGCTCTGAAAGAGCTTTCAACTTCGTCTCATTCACCTGCACTTTCCACAAACCCTTTTATATATATTTTAAGCTTATGCCCTCCGGTTACAGATTCAGTGACCAGGGGAATTATTTTATCGGTATTTACCATGTCAAAACCCCTCAGAATTTTGAATACCTCTCTCGGTTTTCCTTCAGGGGAGGAGAGAATTGCATGGAAAGTGGACATTCTCACACTTATCCAGATGGTTGACATGTACTTTGATTGTTCGTGGCAGTAGTAAATCATAGTGTCACCTGATGGCCACAGAATCACCAAGAAAATTGGGCTCTGAGAATCTATTAGAATTGGATTGATTATTTCCCTCAAGCAAGTAACTCTTTTCAGTGTTAATTAGAAGCTCTGTTGTCTTGGTCATGCTTTTCATCCACGTGTAAGACTCCAGCTCTTCACTGAATCATTGAGATAGCAGTTTCAGTATTCCTTGAATGTTTCTTAATTTAACGGTAAAGATAATTAATGATAGGGCTCATTCACACCACAAACCCCTCTGTGTCAGAATGGCTTAGTTGATAGCGCTCTCACCTGTGTGTCAGAAGGTTGTGGATTGAAGACTTGAAACTCGCCCACAAAATACAGTCACTCCACTTTACAGTATATTCTGTGAAGCGCTTTGAGACATCTCAAAGACGTGTAAAGTCGCTATATCAAATGCAATGATTATTATAATCATTATTATAACTCATATAGTCTAGGCTTATAGGCCAACGCAGTGCTAAGGGTGTGCCATTAAAGTGAGGTGGATATTAAAGATCCCATGGCACTATTCGAAAAGAGAAGGGAATTTCTCCCAGTGTCCTGGCCAACAATCCACTAATTAAAATTGGTTATTCACTAACTTTGTTGTGGGACATTGCTGTGCACACATTGGCTGCAATGTCCATAGCATGATATAGCTTATGATATAGATGTAGACGTCTCAAAGCGCTATCTCCTTGTTATGATATAGCGCTTTGAGACGTCTTTTTTATGTTCGCCCACAAAGTCACTCCACTTTACAGTAAAATCCTGTGAAGCACAAGAAAATGAAATTGTGCTATACCAAATGTGAGGATTACTTTAGTTAGCGATGTTTCATGTGAACTCCTGTTCCTATCTTAACACCGAAACCTGCTGTAATACTCTGACTAGACATTGGTAGCAATCTCCTATCCTCTTTCCACTGCTCCCAGTGCCCCAATTTTCACAATAATAATAATAATCCTTGTATTTGATAGAGCACCTTATCATGTTGTTGAGACATCTCAAAGCGATTCACAGAAGTGTATATTTTGTGGGCAAAATGCGGCAAACAATTATGCACCGCAGTGTCCCACAAACAGTCATGGATTGAGTCACCAAATAATTATTATTATTTGTTTGAAGGGATTATTGCTGCTGGAAAAGCGATCCACCAATCGACTAACAACCAGGTTCCTACTTACTGCTAGATAAACAGAGGCATAAACAGAATCTGTAACCCAGACACTGAGTGTTTGACCATGTGAGGCATCACAGCCACAATCCAGTCCCCTTCCAATATCACACACACAGGTGTCTCTGAATAGTGATCAAGAACAGAACAAGTCAACTTAACCCAAGTCCTCGTGTGCTGGGTCCAATTGCAGAGCCTGTAATTCTGACCAACTAAGAGTAGGTAACTTAGATCAAATGGGCACCAAACACTGGACAGTATTGCAGTGTTTTTATACAATAAACCATACAATTTTTTTGTTTTATTTATGTATTACTATTTTAATTAACTCCATCATTGTCGAACTATGTTCCAGTTGGTCAGTTTCTAGAAATACTTCTTGGTAATCCAACTGAATGATTGAAGGTGCTGCAGTGCAGCCTGCTGGCAGGGAGTCAGTATTACATGAATAAAACGATTGGCACAGGTTGGCAAAATTATCAGCAGCTTTGTGCAATCAAACCGTGGCAGTTACTCTACTCAGAAAAGTCCCAGAAATGGCCATGAAAAGAAAGATCCATTTTACCGGAAAAATTATTAGCTGTGGCACCAGGAGAAACACTCCTCTTTTCTAAGTGTCATGGGTAAATATCTTGGTTTGATTAGCTGGTGGGACGAAACATTGGGCATGTTGTTAGTCGATTGGCAGATTGCTTCAATAATCTCTTGAAAAAAAATGAATAAATAATAATTTGGTCACTTAATTCACGATTGTTTGTGGGACACTGCTATGCGCAATTGGCTGCCACATTTCGTTCTTGAAACATACAGTATATGCTGTGAAGCATTTTAAGAAGTCTAGAAGATGTGATAAGGCGCAAATGCAAAGATTATTATTATTATAAATTGCGCTGTAAGAAAATAGCGGCGCAGAAACCACAACTTTTTGCAACTTTTAAAGATTAGTGAGTACGAGCTCCCATTGGACCATCAAACCATTGGATCATCCTACCAATTGGATGTCCTTGGTGTTGGCAAAGTGGCTGTCACGTTTGCTAAACTGTCATTGGACTTCACAGTAATTAATTGGTGTTAAGATGAGATGCTGTAAAAATGCAAGTTCCATTCTTTACGATCTTTCTAGATTTCAAACACAATTTGCACCTTGATTCAATGCAAAGAAATAAATTGCATTTATCTACTTCTATAATATATAATAATCAATCATATAGTTCACTCCTAATCTATAATTTCTATATAATTTCATATCCGTACAAAATTGGCATCTTCAAAGGGTTAACTATACATACTGTGAGGTTTTATGGTGCTTACTGTGACCACCAGTGAGTGTACTTGCGATAGAAGTAGGCACACTCACTGTGCATCCTTTGTGTGTACTCACGTTAGTAATTAAGGGAAAAATAATCTTTCTTGAAGATTTTTCATCTACCACATTGAAGCACTGAGGAGGCAATTATTAGATATAACAAAGGACACCATTCCTAATGCCAATATCCATAAAGTTGGATCACGCTTTCGACCTCCATTTAGTCGGATCATGGTTTTTACTCTGATTTTTGTTTCTTTAGTGAAATGTTCCGATCCTGCTATCCGACACTTAAATACCATACCACCTCCGATCATACCTCACATCCAAAGCTGCTGAATCTTTGGTCATCTCCCAACTTTATTTCTCCAATGCACTCCTCGCCAGAGTACCCAGCTCCACCATCCATATCCCTAGTCGTACCACACTCTGTACTCCCATCACTCCAATCCTTGCCAGGCTACATTGGCTCTGTTGCAGAGTGGATATATTTCAAAATCCTAGCACATACCAACAAATCACTTCATGTCCTGGCACTTCCATACCTCTCCGACCTGCTTACACCACATTCCCCTACTTGCCCGCTTTGTTCAGCCAGCTCAGGCTTATGTCCCTCCCTTGACCCTTCTGCTCCACAATCTTGCCCCCTCTTTATCTGTTTTCATATCGCATCTGAAGACTTTCCTCTTCAACTGTGCAATTACTCCTTTCTCCCCCGTGCAATGTCAAAATATATAGTTGTTCAGCGCTCCGAGACCTTGTGTCAGGTACTGTATAAATGCAAGTTGTTTTTGTTGTTGATCTTGTCCTTCCAGAATACCCACACCTAACTTGTCTCCCCAGTCTAACCTGTCAGAACTCCCTGCCTCCAACCCTCTGCCTCGCCCCTTCTATCTATCTTTAAATCCTCTTGGAACATGTCTATGGTAACTTTCCCATATCCCTTCTACTTTGGTCGAAATCCAACCATAACACCATGAACCAAAATTATTATCCTATGTGAAGGGCAGTATAAAAAGTTGTGCTGTTATTGAGCATGATGGACAATCATGAAAGTTGGGCACTGACATCGTGTGATACAGAGAAAAAGAAGATTTCACCCCCTCCCCCCAGCTCTGACATGTTATGTACATTTCTAATGTAATGATACATTACAAAGCTCTAAATTAAGTTTACATTAGACTCTCATTGACGGCCTGAGTTCACACATGGAGAACAGCTATTTGACAGAGGCACCAGAGGACGCTGGTCACCACTATAATTGTAACTCCAAGGAAGACATGTACAAAACGTGGCTTGGTACATGTATTGTAAAAACAGTGAAATCACAGGTCACAAAAGATTTTATACAACCACACAACGATCGGGGTCAGCTTTAATGGCTTTATTGCGTGTGGGCGGGGTGGGGGGTCTCCCCCTAATTCCAAGCTGTGATTCCATCATCCAACCTTTACATATTTACACCATTTATTGCTTACATATTTAAGCAATGAAACCTCAAGACAAAATATAAACCTAGTTCACAAACTTCGTACAGTCTGACCCTGGTATAATGCAGCAGATGGGGGTCGATAAAACGAGAACCCACATTACAATGGATTGCTTTATAATACGGCCTCCTGTCAGCACTTCTGGGCTTGTCAGGGCCCTGTATATAGGAAGCCAGTCAGGTAGTACCAGAAACAGAGGACACCTAACTCCAGCATACTGCAGCTCCACGTTATATCCAAACCCATAGGATACTGAGTCCATGGGGTCGGACTGTATCTCTGTCTCCAAAAGAATACAAGTTACTTTCAATAGTTTGTACAACTCGTTGCTGCTATTAGCACCTTCAATACATTGATAAACTATTTAAGAAGCTTCTAATTATCTAATATCTCAATGTTCCGTCTATTGCTTTAGTCACAGCTGTTACAGTAAGTTCTAAAAGTTGCAATTAATCCAGACAGAAGGCCTTTGTAGAAAACCCCGGAGTGTTTTAATATTGGATCCCTGGAATAGCACTGTTTTATTTCCCAGAACATGGTGAGCATGAAATTCTCTAAAAGTATATATCAGTTTTTCTGAAGAGCTTTTTCCCCTCAATTTAATTTCTTCTGTCACTAATGCCAATATTTCACGTCAGACCGAGAAGCTGAGGTAAGGGGCTATGTCTGTATAGTTACTGTGAAACATGGGAAACCACACAGATTCAGTTCCAATTCTAGGGTTGGGGTACTCAGATATTCGGGGGAGGACCCACATTGAAGGAGTTTACTCTGGATCTAACCTCCATCACAGGGGACCTTGGTATCATTAAGTATCAATAGCTTTTTGTTCTTATTTGGATATTTCCTCTTTCACTTTTTTAAGAAGATATGAACTTTGTTCATTATGTATGATTAAGGGTAGTTTGAAGCATTTTTCATCAAAATCAACAGGTTAAGCTGGTGAGGTTTAATGTTAAATATAAGAGCTGTTTGGTCCAGTGAGCTACAATTTTGAAGTCTCAGTCTCCGGCAACTTTACAGTATTCAAAATATAAAGGGTTCGGGCTGGCTGTTTTGTGAAGTAAACCAAATAGAACTTGAAAATGGTCAAAATTATCCAGAATTTTGTGTGAATGTGGACATCATGTGAGGTCAAGCTTGGCTGAAATCTCTTGCCAATAGTTGTAGATAGCCAGCAGACACTCAATGATGATACTCACCATCATCAACACTCACCAGACATTCACCGCTGGTGACACGCACACAACTGCCAATTCTCACTGCTGACAGTTGCCACCCACAGTCACCAACAGTAAATCGTGACTCTCAATTGGTCTGTCCAGTCAGATTGGAAGGCAAGTTGACAATTTCATTAAGTCGCCAAAGTGTGAAAAAAGTGTCGGAGAGTAAACATCTCTCTCTCCTGGGCTATCTATATCCCTCTTTCATGGTTTTCCCCCTGCCACTTGTTGGTTCGATCCCGTGCACCTAATCCAGGGTAGTCTGGCACCAGACCCACAAACTACAGAAATTCATTGTTTTTGCTGCACTACATCAGCATCAAAACAAACGACAACAGATAGACTTTAAATAAATGCCGTTATCTACATAAAATGCAAAACAATAAAACAATACATTCACATAGACTTCTAGAACTAGACAGATTTATGTAAAAAAAAACTCCAGTTTTAAAGGCGGACATTAAGCAATTTTTCCCATTAACATTTTTCACAAGATGCAAACTACTCCAATTTAGACTCCTGTGTGGTGGATGCACCATGGGGGCTGGGTGGGAGTACAATGTTTCACATGTGACAATTATCACATGAAATCTGTTATGAAACTGCAGATCCCCCCACCCCCCACCTCCCCCCACACACCCTATATTTGAGAGCTTCTTTCCTTAATGAAATTGACTTTGGAACATAGCAGAGGAGAGATTCTAAGGATTCCTCCATTCACTCTCCCTGAGGTATATGCCACTTTTGGGGTGTGGTTAGCTGTGGTAAGCGTATAGAGGATTATGGAGAAAAAATAAGGAAATAAGAATTTAAAAAAATGCAGGCTCAGCAGGCTGAGTGGTCTCATTTTATGTCATCATGACAAGTAAAGGTGTCAGAATAACAATAAAACCAGCACAAAAAATAAGCATTTCAAGAACATAATAACTGAGTTGCTTCCTGTGAAACTGCATTATATGCAAACACAAGTGCTTTGGGACTTCCTTCCAAAGTGATAAGGTGCTATACCTAATGCAAGAATTATTGTTATGATAATTATTATTATAGACCAAAACAATCCTCTGTTCAAGATCTGCGTTGAGTTGGCTGATCTTGGCTGTGGTAACAATAGAAGTCCTTTATCTGAATTTATCACTGATGGATGTGAAAGGGAAGGCAAAATCCTGTCCTCATCAAGTGATACCACCCCCACCCCGCAAACAACAACAATTTGCACGTATACAGCACCCCTCACATAGGGTAGTATCCCAGAGCACTTTCTCTCATCAGATCATACTTCCCACCACACCCCTCATTTGAATAGCTTCCCAACATTAAATGGCCTGGACTCGCACACACAGAAAGGCAATTTAGATGACATACTGTTAGGCAATTGGTGCACATGAGACTGAACTCAGCACAATTCATCACCTTCAGGAGAGGAAGAGGAGGAAAGGAGAATACTGGAAGATGCAACATTTTAGAAAAAGTTAAAAAAAACTAAACTTTTTATTAGCGTACAAAAAGGGTTTTAATGTGTAGATTTTTTGGGGGGACATAAACTCCCAGCTGGTAGGGTACAACTCCCAGTCAATACACATCTCCAAGCCATATAAATTCCTCTAAGCAAATCTGTCTTTAACAATGGGCTCTATATGTTTCCCAGTCTGGACTGTATGACTATTGATCTGTATACAGTAGCTGTTATGGTGTAATTCTGTTTTTTTATTGACAATACCATTCTAATACATTTTTTATTAAGAAAACTAGCCCTCGCTGTACACCACTTGCTTTTTCTGAGATACATGTGTGCTGTTTGGAAAATAACTGAAAAAAATCTTTCTGTACCTTTTAGAAAATGTTAAAAACAGCTCAAGATTTTTTCCTATGAGTAAATGTTGACCCTCCCTATAGATGGGTGGTAATTGGGAGGGACACATTGCTCAATGTGGGAGAGGAAGATCCCACAGGAATCTCTTCTAAACAAGCAGCTGCATTGTCACACACAGCTTTCTCTTTCAGCTGTGGAGATCTCTCCTGCTGACAATTTACCTCTTTTAGGTCTGTTTTCTCAGAGCACCTGCAATGGTTTGTACAGTACAGGGTAACGTTAGTGATCACTCGATCCATGGGCTTCAGTGAGTGCATCCAAATAGGTAGGAAGTCCCAGTTCTGGAATTTCCTGGGCAGGCGATTGGGACTGCGAGTTTGCATGATGTTGATGATGCCGATGGCAATCAGCATGACTACGAAAGGAGTCCCAACACCCACAAGTACCTGCCAACCTGCCATGGAGAGGCCAAAAATAAGCGAGGGCAGCAGGAGGAAGCAGCAGATCAGATACAGTACAGCAAACCAGCGGTAACTGGAAGTTCGCTCTCCCAATATCTTGGCCATGCGAATGGGGAAGCGGGTTTGTGGCAATGGGTACCACAGGATTATCCCAGCAATGTTGAAAAAGAAATGGCACAAAGCGATCTGCAAGACAGGCATTTGACTGTAAATACTCAAACCACTGCTGTCCAGTAGATACTCACTCAATTCAATCAAAATGACAAATAATGCTTTAATTAATTAATTAAATAATTTAATTTCCAGGGAGCAATTGATCTTAGTGTTTTTTGGCCTAAGGAAGGGAAAACAATCATCCAGAAGGCAATTCTTAATTGTTGTCCATTGCTGGAAAGTGTTCTTGTGAAGATCAAGCACTGATCCCCCAGTGGTCAAATACCTTTCAAGCATAGTCTCTTTGGGTTTGACACTCCAAGGAGACACACAATGCAATGAAAGATTGGGAGGTGATTCTCTGTGGCAAAATTTCGGAAGACACTGTTGATGACAGATCAGTCAACCTGGTTCATTAGAAGGATTCGGGGAGCAGACTAGTTAGTAGGGGCTGGGATTCAACTCAGGCTCCTATCAATTGTGCAAGCCAATGCGTAGAATGGTCGGAGCTAGAAAAGCAGTGGGAAGCTTATCAATGCTCTGCAATGGTAAGCTGCATAGTTCTAGTTAGTTAAGCTCCAGCAGCACCACATTACAAACTCTGGGAGACCCAAACCTTAGTTCTTGCCAATCTGCACTTGAATTCTCAAGGATTAGGTAAAGGCACAGGTTGGCAAGAGCCAAGATTTGGGGACCCAAGTGGGTGCGTTGGGGTACTGATGGAGTCTAACCAGGAACACCCTGTAAGCTTCCTGATGGATGCACATTACTTTTGTCATTAGGCTCAGTGAGTATTTTAACTAATTAATCTTTAGAAGCAGATTTATTGTGCATTGAGGAAGCATAGCGCGATCGTGTAACTATGTTTGTGCACGTGTTACTCCCAGTTTGTGGAGGGAGTTGGTTACCTGCAAGGAGTTTTCTAACTTGTCACCATGGCTAGCCAAGGCTGACAGTATAGCAGTGGTTGTGGTACCTATATTGGATCCCAACGTCAAAGGATAGGCACGCTCAATATCGATCACTCCAATACCTAAAGAGAGGATTACAAGGTAGAATTACAAGAAATATGAGAAATCTTATTATAAAATCTTGTTATTTTTCGCCCACAAAATACAGTCAATCCACTTTACAGTATATCCAGTGAAGCACTTTGAGACATCTCAATGATGTGATAAGGCGCTACATCAAATGCAAGGATTATTTATTATTATTATTGTTATAATTCACATTATCTAGACTGCCACTCCAATACAGTGCTGGGGGTGCACTGTATCATTGGAGTTATTGTCCTCGGGATAAGACATTAAAATCAAGTATCACCTGCCTATTTGAATGGACATTAAAGATCTCACTGCACCATTTGAAAAAAGAAGGAAGTGTCTACCAGTTCCTTGGCCAATAATCTCCCAAATGAAATTGATCATTCACATCATAGTTGTTTTTGGCATACTGCTGGGCGCAAATTGATTTTGTCTACAAAATATACAAACACTATACTTTATAGTGAATCCTCTGACAATGCAGCTCTCCCCCAGTAATAATTCCCAGTAATTTCTGTAGGAAAACCTAGTAGCTGTTTTGTGCACAGCAAAGTCCCACAAACAGTTCTTAACTGAATGATCAATTAACCTGGAGGTATGCTGACCAGGATCTAGAAAAGACTCCCCTCTCTTTTTGAATGGTGTCATGGAATCTTTAACATCCACCTGAACAGGCAGTCGGGATCTGGATTTAAATACTCATTTGAAACAACAATTCGCAACAATTCAACACTCTCCCAATCCTGCACTGTCAGCCTGGACTGTGAGCTCAAAGTCTTGTCACAGGGTTTAAATTCACAACCAAATGTCGCAGTGGTGAGAATGCTACCAATTAACCAAGCTGACATACGCTGTCACAGAAATTCAATGTTATATTTTAAGCCATAATTGGAGGAAGAGATCATTTTTAACGGAATGTCTCTGCTGATCAGAAGAGAGCTACCTCAGTGACAACCAATGTCAAATACCTAGCAAAAGGGGCCACGGTCTTTGCAGCGAACTTACCAATGAGTGGAGTGATGATTGAAGTAAACACGGAGCTGCTTTGGACAATGAAGGTCATACCAGCTCCCACCACCATGGCGATGTATCCCGATATCCAGCTGAAGGGGTATGGGAAATCTAAATCAAACAAAGGGACAACAGGAATTAGATCCACCTAGATATCCAGCCACTAAGCCCTGAAACTCTGGAACTCTCCCTCAATCCCTCTGCCTTGCCCCTCACTCGCCTCTTCAAATTCAGCCTAAAAACCTTCCTTTTTGATTGTGCTTTCGGTCACCTCCCCCACTCCCTCGCCCCCTGGCTCATTGTCAGACTCCGCCACTGTGAAGCGTTCTGGGACCTACCCCACATGAAGGGTGCAAGTTGTTGTTGTAGGTTTCTTGAGAGCATTTACTTAGATTAGAAATCAAGAAAATCAATTCCCAAACCCTGTCTATCCACTAAATTCACTCACTACGTTAATATTCTTCCAAATCTCAATATCTGTTTTGGAAAAAAAGTTTTCCGCCAAATCCAACTTCACAAGGAATAATGGAACATAAAAACATTCAATCCTACATTTGTTCAAAAAAGAAGAAATAATCAGAATTAAATAACGTGTAACAGATTCACGATGAAAAACAAGTGAATTGGCTCAATTTGTAAAGTAAAACATTGTTTTAACATTAATTATAAAATGTAATGAAAAACTGAAGCAGTAAAGATTTCTACACATTCCGTGAAGTGACAAGTCCACTCACCAGTGTTAATCAACCATTTGATAACTTTGGCTACATGCCCCCTCAGCATGGAGTTAAGCAGCTTAACGATCAGCACCAGACACGTGCAAAGAACCACCAGCGAAACAGCCAGCAAGATCAGCCCCACAGCCAGATCTGGCAGAGTCATATTCACAAACAAATGGTTACCTGGAAACAAGAGACAAATATTGATGGGTCAAATCATAAGCTTTCAAATGGTGAGTGGATCCTGTGTTAACTGGTCACTTAATCCATAACTGTTTGTGGGACACTGCTGTGCGCGATTGGCTTCCACGTTACGCCCACAAAACATACACTTTACAATTCAATTCACCTTACAGTATATTCTGTGAAGCACTTTGAGGCGTCTAGAAGACATAATAAGGCGCTACGTCAAATGCAAGGATTATTATAACTAAATGTTTAGAGTAACAGTCAAATAATGTGGAGTCCTGTAGCTCAGTGGTTAGACAACTCGCCTTGCAAGCGAGACACCTGGGTTCAATTCCAGGCAGGACAAAACTTTGGGCAAGTTTCCTCACTCCATATGCCTAATAATAATCCCTCCAAAACAAAATAATAATAAATTGGTCGTTTTCAATTCACGACCGTTTGTGGGACACTGCTGTGTGCAATTGGCTGCCACGTTTCGCCCACAAATATACAGTCAGTTCACTTTACAGTATATTCTGTGAAGCGCTTTGAGACGTCCAGAAGACGTGAAAAGCGCTATATCAAATGCAAGGATTATTATTATTATTATGAATCTATAACTCAACAAAATAACTCTGTTCCTCTGATGTGACAGTCTATAAAATACATCTCTCCACTTTACCAGATGACAGATTTTTGTCCAATAAATGAGAGGCTTTTGTTAGCTGAACATTGCACTAATTCTTTTGGTGTTGAAATAGATCTAAAGTTAATTCTCGTTGTAATTTGTAAGGTTTTGCAATAAAACTTACACTTTTTCAAAACGTCTTCAGATGTTCTGTTGGTCAAGGAGCCGCTCTCGCCCTGCCAATAGCGAAGAGGTTTTTTAAAAAATATTTATAGATATACGTATTAATTTGTACATGATTTAATCTCTTTCCTGAGTTGTGCGGTAAAATACAAGTAACACAATGCAATTCAAGATACAAATTACTGACAGGTGTGTACAATAGGGATCTTATACAAAGAATTAAAGGGAAGGTTAGAAAATTATTTTCAGAGGTTGGTTGGAATGCAGATTTCTCTGCCACAACCATTACTGTTTCCATGAATTCCTGGAGAAGGGCATAAAATAGATAAGGGGAAGGGGAATACTGCTGGATATGGGAGCAAGCAAGAGAGTGAGATTAGATCTGGTGATTCACGATGTGAAAAACACCAGTGAAGATTTGATGGGTTGAATAAGCGGTTTCTGTGCTAAAATAAATTGCTGTTTTATAACATTTATTAGGTAAGGTCTGTAATATTTTAAGCTTGCCATTGTGTCGATTTACACATGGATTATTGCCATCTTTGGACTTCCTTTCAAGTAAGGCAAATATCATAATTACAGCAAATTTTAGTTCCTAGTTAGAGATTTTTTGGGTGAATATTTGTTTTACTGACATAATAATAATCCTTGCATTTTGATATAGCGCCTTATCATGTCATTGAGACGTCTCAAAGTGTTTCACAGAATATATTGAAAAGTTGAGTGACTGTGTATTTTGTGGGTGAAACGCAGCAGCCAATTAATTGCACACAGCAGCGTCCCACAAAGAGTCGTGGATTTTTTTGTTTGTTTTTTTGGAAGGATCATTACCACCAGAAAGAGTTCTGTCAATCGACTAACAAGTGATCTGCTAAGGAGAAACAAAACCTGTGGTCTCACTAGCCCAAGAAGCATTTTATAACCAGTCTCAAGACCTCAGGCCTAGACTCCTCAATCACTATAAAGCAATTCCTGTGCACTGCAACCCAGTGGCCTTTTATAACGGCATCAAGTAAAGCAAAACGGCTTAAAAGCTTGTAAACTTGATCTTTGATGTTAGTTAGGTTTGGTTTGTTCACTGACAGAGGTGGGACCTTCACTTTACAGGGAGTTGGTCAGGATGTACAGCGCTTTGGATGTTGTGTGGCTCTAAGGAGTTTCAGGCAGGTAGTGCAGTGATTGGGGTCATTACCTTTACACTTCAGATATCAGGTTCAGATGAAGAAAATTAATGTAATATCAGGGCTGAAAATATCCCAAAGGAAATGTTGGGAATTCTATCAAAAAATTCAAAAAGGAGGAAACTTTGAAATGTCTATAAATGTATATACCATCAATCTGCCTCCTCGTATACATAAGAGTATTGAGTGCCAGAAGGTGGAAAGTGTTTTACTTCTGAAATTCCCTACCTGACTCTTCTTTACGCACCAAACCTTCACAAGACTCTTATTCCTGAAATTTTCATCTCCTAGTGCCAGACCAGTGATGACAGACTTGTCAAGCTGAAAAAAATACCAATAAGATAACAGTCACCTGATGTAAACATCTTTCATAATATTTCTGTAAGCGAGAGATTACTTTCCTCACAAGACACAAAATTAATTCAGATAAAAAAAGGCTTTCAGCCCTCTGATCTCATCCCTTCAGAATACTCACCCCACTCTCCTCCCATCATAGATACCTTTTTAATTCTCATAATGAGATACCTTATTATTCTTGGAAGTTTTTAATTGCATAATTTAAACCGATGGAATAACAAAGTCAGGGATTTTTTTTACTGTCTAATATCTCACAATTAATTTCTACGCTATTTGTATTCTGCTATTCCATTTCAGAAAGTTAAAAATACACAAGGTCATTGTGTCTGTGCTGATGCTATCTCAATCACTCAAACTATCTACTCTAATTTAATTTCCCTGCTCTTTGACCCTTATTATCCTCAAACAATTGTCGAGTTTTGTTTTAAATTGTGCTGTTCAGTCGGCTTCAACAGCCAGTTGTAGTAGACGTTTTATGTTCTACAGATATATTCATTTAAGTGTGTATGTGCTATCAAACTGAGATATCAGCCCATTCTGTAATGATGTCCATTTTACCCAGGTTTGGAGAGTAAATTTACAGCAGTAAGTAGCAGTTTCATACCTGTATAATGTAGTCAGTGAATGGATCTGTGATGATTGAGAGGAAGTCTGGCGTATTTGTCCCAGTCTGGAGATGGAAACTCTTCACAACCACAAAGGTCAGTCGGTATAAGAAACCACTGGCAAGCTCAATGGGCAGCAGCACCAGCACTGAGAGCCAATTGAAGCAATCGTGGACAGTAGCACCAGCAAACGCCCTGGGTTAAATTATAATAATAATTATCTTTGCATTTGATATAGCGCCTTAGCACATCTTTGAGATGTCTCAAAGTGCTTCACAGAATATACTGTGCAACGAATTGACTGTATGTGGGCAAAACACAGCAGCCAATTGCACACAGCAGTGTTCCACAAACAGCTGTGGATTGAGTGACCAATTTATTTTGAAGAAATTATTATCTCCGGAAAAGTGATCCGCCAATCGACTAACAACTGGGTTCCTACTTACTGCTAGGTAACGAGAGTAAGGAAACTTGCTGAACATTTCGCCCTGCCGGGAATCGAACCCAGGTCTCTCGCCTGCGAGGCGTGTGCTCTAACCACTAAGCTACAGGACTTTATTTAAATCACATTAAATTAAGGACGGGCAGCCTACAAGTCATTCCCCATAAGCTTAAATCCAGTTATTTACTAATTTTTCACTGCCATGCTTTATACCTGTGGGTCTCCAAATTGAAGGCAAATGGTTGGGAGTCAAAAACTTTATGGTTTACAATGGTCTTTACTAACAGTCGCTGACAAGGAATCCTGCTGGTTCTAAGCACCAGAAGTAGATCACAGAATCTCACAAATCAGCTGTGAGGTACTGCCAGATACTATCCTGATTTCTCATTAACAACGCAGAGTTGTTAATAATCCCTCCAAAAAAAATAATAATAATAATTTGGTCACTCAATCCATGACTGTTTGTGGGACACTGCTGTGCGCAATTGGCTTCCGCGTTTTGCCTAAAAAATATAACGCAAGGATTATATTATTATTATTATTGATGTCAGTGAATGCTGCTGCGATACTTAACTATTTCAATCTTTATTTGCAACTGTGACATTGCTGTGTAAAGTCTTCTGTACTTAGGGAGTAAGAAACAATTTATTTATCCTTTATTACTTTCAACAACAACAAGATTATATTTGTATAGCGCCTTTCACGTCAAGAGGACGTCCCAAGGCGATGGGACAGAGTACAGCATTTCAATGTGGAATATTAAAATATTCAGCTACAAAATACATTACATACTTCAGTACAATTATGCTATGTTGCACTTTGAGACATTTCAATGATGTGATAAGGTGCTATATCAAATGCAAGGACTATTATTATTAAGGTAACCTTTTTGAGAAATAAAAAATGTTGTGAAAATCAGATAACTCCACTAATCTTCAGTTTCAACTGTCAGTTCACTGTATAAAGTGTTCTGTGGGTAGGAACACTGCATTGGCTCAAATGGGATTAAGAAACAACAGGGACCTCGCCCTTCTGAAACCTTACTGACTCGCTCACTCCTCCGCTTGGCAGTTACTGGTCTGCTTCATATCCCTCGCCCTGCCAACCCCACTATCAGCAGTCGTGCTTTCAGCCTATCTGCCCCCACTCTCTGGAACTCCATCCTGGAATCCCTTTGCCTCACCCCTTCTCTCGCTTCTTTCAAGGTCCATCTGAAGACAATACAATATGATACAAAATTACATTTGTATAGTGCCTTTCACGTCAGGAGGACATCCCAAGATATTCCTGTTTGATCATGTCTTCCCCCCACCCACTCCCCTTGGCTCCGATCCTTCTCGAATCCAACCCCCAGCTCAGGTGCAGACCTTTGACTGTCCAGCGCCTTGGGACACCCTCCCAATATGAAATATGCTATATAAATGCAACCCGGTGGTGGCGGTGTTTTATTACTTACTACAAACATAAAGCCAAGCAGATTTCAACTATTGTTGACACAGCCACTCCTGACCTTGGTGCATCCTCTTACCGTTTGAATTCACTTCTGTCTCCGGCCTGCATCAGTGCCACAATGGTACTAGTTATAGACGTCCCGATGTTGGTTCCCATGATAATGGGAATTGCGGCATTCACTTTCAATACTGGAAATAATACAAACATTCACAAAGCTTAGTGTTCAAGCATGAATTGTTTTTATTTAGTGCGCATAACTTTTACTAGATATGTTATTGAAGTTGATCAGCTGTAGCTGCTACAGATTCCTTCTGGTCAGTAATTGTCTTTAAATTCTGGAAAGTGTATAACGTTTTGTCCCACTCATAAATGGAGGCTATAACTATCCCTTAAGACAATTATATATAGTAGTTGTTATTAACCAGGGACTGCAGTGCATCGGGGTGAGGTATTGAATTTTTAAATGTTACAGTACATAATAGGTCATTTGGACTATCAGATCTGCATTGATGTTTCTCTCTAGATTTGATACCAAATGAACTCTCACTTCCTATTTTCCTCCAGGTCACAGATTGACCGACATTCAACCGAATTTGGAACTGAACCACCTACACCTAGGTAAGTCTTATGTCTTATTCTTCATCTGTGGTAAGTTAGCTGCTCTCGGCTAGAATGACATTGCCTTTAGCATATATGAGCCATGGCCAACTCTTATATAAATCAGCCAGGGCCACTGCTCCTGGAATGCTGCAGATTGTGAGGATCAGCTGAGGACAGAGTTGGATTTGTTATGATGCCCCCCATAGTTATACATTTTCTTAGTTTGCAGATGAAGAATCATCACTGGGTAAACTACGTTAGCACCAGCTCCTACACAACAGCATAACGTGTACTTTCAGAAGAGATGGGAAGAAAAGTGAAGAGGACATAAGTTGTAATCTCAGCATTTAATTTTGTATGCTTTGGATCTTCTAATAGAAGTTATAGGTTTACTAGTGTACTTTTCTCAGTTGGTAGGATTCCCATCTCTAAGTCAAAAGGTTGTGGCTTAAAGTTCCACAGCGGGACTTGATCTCACAATCTTGATTGCCAAGCGCTCTGGGATGCTACTCTGCGTGAGGGACGCTATATAAATCCAAGTTGTTGTTGTTGTAGCCATTCCAGTGCAGTACTGGAGAATACTGCATTGTCATACATGCCATCCTTTTGATGAGATGTTAAATGGAAGTTCCGTCTGCCTGTTCTGACAGTGGACGTTAAAAATCTAACAACATTAACAGNAAAAAGGGAGTCTCTGCTGGTTTCCAAGCCAACTAACTTCTAGATAAATTGTTCATTCACATCCTGGCTGTTGGAAACCCACTACACATTTGCAGTTAGCATTGCTTGACAGTATTACTGCGAAATACTTTGTTACGTTTCAACATAAGGAACCATAAAAAATGCAAGTTCTTTGTTACTCACTTCCTGATGATACCATGCTGACAATAATGGACGTTGAGGTACTGGAGCTTTGGACCAGGACAGTAACAAGGATTCCTACCACAAGTCCAGCCAGAGGATTGGATAGGATTGCACTGTCCTTAAAAATGTCACCAGCCACCTTACCTGAAAGAGATAAGACTATTTTAAAATATGCCTCATGGACGTGAGACTCATCCAAATAGCTTATCCAAATAGCTAATCCATTGAATAGTCATTTTCAACAAAACCAGAACTTTTCATCTTGTTTTCTCCCAAATCTCCATTTCCATCATCGTTGCCAACTTCCATTGTCTCCCAACACCTCAAAGGATTAAGATTAAACTCCTTGACCTGGTCTTCAAATTTCTATGTTGCCTCCCTCCACACTATGTGTTATAGAAATTTTGCATTGAAGTAACCATTTAATATAGTTCAACAGGTTATAAAGATGAAACTCCATGCATGCTTTACTCTACTCACAAAATATAATACATACCAAATTCTGTAGGTTTTTTTGCATAAAAGACCATTACATGCAGTAATAAACAAAGTAATAAACATTACTGGCATCAATTTGTTATACTCCCACTTGGTTTGACCTGGAGAAGGTCGAGTTTTATTGTCCATATAAAATTCTGTCTAATAATCACATTTCCACCCCCCAGCTTGAATGGAAACCCTCAAATGTCCAGCGGCTTGGGACATCCTCCTGACAAAAAAGCAGCTATATAAATACAGTTTGTCGTCGTCGTTACTGTTGTCTCCTCCACCCACTATATTAATGTGTAGTTATGGCTGGTAGGACCTGTCATCTAACCAAACAGGCCATTGGGGGCGACGCAGAGGTCAAATTAACATCGGCAACTGATATATATAGGGCCAACTATATCTGGTGAATAAAGTAACAATTAATCTGCGACTACATTGAGAGTTAATGTATTTCTGGGAGGGATATTTTCTTTACTCATTGCAAATTTCAGAAGCAGTATTTCTGCATTTGCAGAGGGTTCTTTATACTGAATGCATGGTGGAAATATCTCAGGCATCACTGGCAAGTTGGAGACCGGCACAAGCAAATGCAGAGGCGGAATCAGGGAAGAGGCATGCAACAATACAACACCACCTTAATCATCCCATCAGTCCCAAGGGAAAATGTATTGAATGGTTCAGGTCAGAAAGGATTTTCAAGGATATGATGATGGAGGTTTACAGACACACCTCCACCAATCCAAGGACACAAAGAGAGTTGGCTGACCTCATAAGTCCAGTCTTGCATCCAAGAAGTTAGTCAGGGACTTTACTGTCCATGAACTTGAAAATAACAAAATAAACAGTCACTTCACCTTACGGTATATCATGTGAAGCGTTTTGAGATGTCTCAATGACGTAATAAGGCGTTATATCAAATGTAAGGATTATCATTATTATAACCGACACCTTCGACTTCTGTCACAGACTCCTTACAAAGTCTTGGGTGGGGAAAATCTTGTAAGGATTATACCAGTCTACTGAACAGGTTGTGCCTGAATGCACATAGGTATATCTGCTTTTGAAGTAGTGGAAATCCCATACAACTTATGCTTTTATGATCTCGCGGGCCTCCTGAAGGGTCAGGGATTAATGTAGTGGACACGTGTATTAAAACAACACTTGCACTTATATAGCGACCTCCACACAGGGCAGAGTCTCAAGGCGCATAACGGTGGTGGAGCCTGACTCCGACCCGGGGGAAGGGGAGAGGTGACTGTAAGCACGGTCAAACAGGGAAGTTTTCCACCAGGACTTGAAAGAGGGGAGGGAGCAAGGGGGAGGGATTGAGGGAGAGTGCTCCAGAATTTTGGGGCGTAGTGGCTCAAAGCACGACCTCCAATGGTGGGGCGGAGGGTGCGAGGGACTGGCAGGAGGCAGGTCCCAGTTGAGCGGAGGCGCCGGCTGGTGGAGTGGGTAGTGAGGAGGTCGGAGAGGTAGGAATGTGCCAGGGAGTGAATGGATTTGAACACAAGTGAGAGGATTTTGAAGTTGATCTGTTCGGTGATGCGGAGCCAGTGGAGCCTGGCCAGAACTGGTGAGATGGGAAGTGCTTTCATTGATAGGAAGCAGGAGCCTGGCCTCACATCTCCAGGCATCCACAATGTCTTTGGAAATACCCCATTCCAGTTATGTCTTGTAGATCTACATACCTGTCCTCCAATAGCGGCTTTGGAGGTGCCAAAGATCATCTTGTATCTTGGGGATGGGATTATATACCAACTCCTCCAGCTCCTGGGCAGGTGGGATATCTGATAATATCCCTCAGTTGATCAGCAGAAGATATTCATTTTCTCCATTAGGGGCTATACTGTTCTCACCATTGGTCTCTCAAATCATTCTCCTGTTCCCGCTCAGCCAGCTCAGGTGATGACAGCTCCATAAGGGTGAACTTCAGCAATGCCGAACTCTATCCTGAATGGGCTACTAGTCTCATGACAACAGTAAATTCACCAGCAACATCTGTATTGAGAAGTTGGCCGAGAGTCCAGCCCTTTCTCCAGCATACAACAAAAGAGCTTTGCTAAATCAGTCTTCATGGACTTTGTGTAGAGGTATACCAGCTCTCTGGGCTGTCTTCTGACATCTTTGTCAGACTCCAGTCACTTTTATCTCCTACTCTTTCAATGGCAGACTCGACAATGTGCAGCATCTTCCAGTTGGATGTTGGACTCCACTAATGGGTAGGTGGTGTATGCTTTTGGTTACATTATCACTTAGTTCCTGGGAGAAGCCCCAAAACTGCCTGTCAAAGCTCTCAGCAGCCTTTGGCTGTCCATCCAGTGAAACCCTGTTATGTGCCTGAGCACTACAAGGCTATGGCCTACATAAGTGCTTTCTCTTGCACTAGAGGTCAACGGCTGCTGAGGACTAACAAGTAGTTGTCGGGCTTCTCTTACGCTACTAGCACATCTTGCCAGGTACACACCTCTATAGTTCTGTGTGTACAACCACGTGCATTCCCTTGAATACCATGGAGTCCTTTTCTCTGTATGCTTTTCTGTATGATGCTGTGCAGGATGTAATGACTGTATGGTCTTGTGGGAAGATATTCCGTCTGGGTCTAAATTGACATAATTTATGTCGCATTTTGCAGCATCCAAAATGCATTTAAGAACTTTTTTATAGTTCTTAAAATACCTTACAGAAAAACAACTTAAAAAACAGTTTGTCAAATTGTTTAAAATCTTACATAAATCTGTAAATCTAGAGCCAAGTTGAAGTCTGTGTTACTGAACAGGTTTGGAGGGAAGGGGCTGGGGGAGGGGGATACAGGTGAAGTGCTTGGTGATGTTTATTTTTGTTATATTCTTGCTGGGCAAAATACCAAATCAGCTTCATGGGCCACCATCCCTTTGCTGGCCTCTCCTCAGCAGGTCGTGATGTATGGACAGAGAATGGATCTCTGTCATACAGCTGGTCTCTGTTTCTTCTTCTTTCTCGGTCTCCTCCCACTGCTTGCTCACCGCTGCTTCTGCTGTGGAGCTTATATCTCTCTGGGTGCTGGTGGTGGCTGAGAAAGATCTGCAAGTGAATGACCACTACTAAAAACATGCATAAAAGTGCACAGCACATGCATACATACAGCCAAAGCCCTAACGGGTAGGGTGGTCCTAGTTGGACAAGCAGCGGGAAATCCTGACAATCAAGGCTATCAATGGCAAGCTATGCCATTTTAGCTGGTAAGACTCCAGTTGTACCCCAAGGCACACTCTGGGTTCCCCAAGCCTGGCCAAACTAAAATTAAATGTTTTCCGGAATTAGGTAAGCAAGATGTGTTCCTCCAGGGAGAGCGTGCACATTCCAGTCCAACAATCTATCTCTAGAATGTTTATGTTAAGGTTGGATTGGATACCCTTAATGTATCAGTCACGTGGCTGACCCAACCCCCACCCCGCCACCAAAAAAAAAGCGCTGTGCGCATGTTTCTGTTTGAAGAAAGTACTGTTACCTTGCATCGGGCTGAGAAACGTGCACTTAACCCCTCTTCCAGGCTCTTCCTCAGTATCTCTTCAGTTATGTTACGTTTCCTCTCCTTAAAGAAGTAATCACTGGTTAATTACCTCTAGATCCATTCTCTGTGATTTTACTCTGAAATAATAAAGTAAAATAGAACCAATGTGCACTTTCTGACATTAATGAGGCAAGTTCCTCTTATCATCCTTGCACTGGTGCCAGCTTTATCAAAGGCACTTATTTGCAAATATGAGAAAACTTGTTAGGTGTTACAGTAATAAGATGCCATCATTAGCAAAAGAATAAATGATGGTACATCAAGTAAAAAGTCTACTGTACCTTGAAACTCCTCTTTTGCTGCACCTGTTGGCACGTCCTTTTGGTAGGGCTGACTGCATTGACCTGACTTGTTATTTATTTCTGTGCTTCACGACTAATATCTCTTTTTGCCCTTGTAGCCAGCTGTACCAAAGACACACATGAAGCTCCATGATGCCCTCCACGATAGCTTGGACCTACTCCATGAAGAAACTCTTTCTGGTTGCATGTCTCTCTTCTCCAGATTATCCACTTTTGTTCTTCATGTTTTCGCCATGCTTGTCTGTTGAACCCTGCATTAATATGCCCAACAAATGTTGCTGAGGCCAATGTGGTTGTTGATGGTCTTGTTATAGACAGTCCTGGGATTTCTTTCTGATTGACTACTCTTTTGTCATATAATTCTGATCCTTCTAGAGATTATCATTCATATAGTGGAATTTGGCTGTGTTAACATTGCCATATAAAAAAATTACTTTATAACGCTTTCAGAGAAAATACAACACAATTCTGACCCCCATTGGGGAGAAATTCAACCAGACTTACTCTGCTATGTAGCATTTTAGAGCACTCAAATTTGTCAAATTCAATAGTCTTAATTTTGAAGTTTATTTAACAATTTGTCAAATTCTGGTCACCCTAAAATGTTACGTGAATAGAATAAATCTAGAGCCAGATGTAATTCTGTGTCTTTTAGGTTTGAAAGTAATGGAGTGAAAATGTTATGGGATTATTCAGCAGCATTTCATAATGAATTCCTTCTGTTAACTAAGACACGGAATGAATTATAAAATGCTGCGAACTTTGCCCCCCAAAGGTTTCACTTGTAGTTCCATGCCTTATGCAATGTGTTATAGAATCAGCTATGACACAGCACAATATACCATCTATTCCTAAAGAATGAACATTATTGTTTTCCAATGCAGTGTTTCAATAATGCTCTCTGCTGGTGAGGCGTTCCTGTAGGTCAGTGGGAAATCCCATTAAAGATCCTGTTAAGAAATACCACAAGGTTGGACACCCATGTTATTATCCTTACCTCCTGCGAGCTGAAAGGCTTCACTGAGAATCACAAGGGAGCACACAAACATGTAGAGGAAGAAAAGCAGGAAGGAGATCTTCAGCACCAAACAGAAAATGCATATTGCTCTCTTTGGATCTACAACACAGAGACATTGAGAATGTGTCAAAAACAACTCAGGCCCTAAAATTCCATCTGGTCTCAGCCTGCAAGAATATTTCACCTCATCAGATAAAATGGTGCAATTGTGGAAAATTTGTTCATTCAGTCAGAATTTTCTGCTCTTAAGATCCCAAAAGAGGTTTGGATGAAGCAAACCTTTTGCTCATTTGATCTCTTCAAAGCAAAATATCCACCTACCACCATTCAATTGCAACATCAAGTAGTTCCTAAATTAATTCATTGTCTTGGTCTAAAATTAAACAACCCTTTCTGGGAACACATTTCACAACCGTTTTACTTGCTAAATATTCTCTAGGTAAATAAATATTTCCTGTTGTTTGAAGAGATCGCATATGTCAAAGATCCTTCTTGACTTGAACCTCATTTTGGGATCTTGTGAGATGAGAATCAACGTTATATATAATAACCAATGTTAAGCATTGAACAGTTATGTATAATAACATAATAATCAATATTGAGACGCACTGAGCAGTCACATACAAAAAGGTAAACATCACCTTAAAGAATTCGGAAAATCTTATCTGGTGATATTGAAAGATAAGTTTCTCACCTCTCCAAAAAGGCCTGGTTGTGATGTTCACTTTGGATAAGATCCATGATTTGGACGAATGTGTGTCAATTTCATACTTATCAATACTATCCACCAGACTGATGGTTGAGCTTGTGCAGAGAACAGTGTGGTCTGAGTGTGGTCCTATCATCCCCTGGCTAGGGTAGGATTTTCTGCCTGCAAATTAGTTAATATTTTAATTTGCAGAAAACAGAGAAAGACTTAAGGATGCATTGGACCATTATTATTTTTTATTATTATTATTGTTATCATCATCAATGATCTACTGTTCATTACTCATTTCTTCCATCCCACCGTAAGTGGTTAATTGAGTCATTATGCCTCCTAGAAACATATCTTTTACTCTGGCTTTGGTCAACATTCCCAAACACACCCATCACCTTCCTTTCCCCCATCGTTGTTGTAAAATCGATAACAATCACATCATACAGTATTTTTTACTCTGATAGCTCTATGTGTCAGTGTGGTCCAAGACACAGTGTTCGCTAACACATCATCTTTTCATTATGCATTGATAATGAGATTTCATGGGAGAAAGGTGAATCACGTTGGTGGTCACTACATGGGTGAATGCTATCAATGTGATAATGCGTACAGAATGCTTGTGAAGAAATGTAATTATAGAATTATGCTGATAAGTAATAAGTTAAATAATGGACAAAACTAGCTAGTAGTCCACTACTAATAATAATCATTACTCTTCCATCTAGTAGAGGGATCAAAAACAAGACAATATTATTAAAAATTGGAGTTAAGTTAGCAGCTGCTGCTCAAGCTCCACATCTCCATCTGGTGGAACCATCGCTCAAAGGGTAGGGAATCGTGTCCGACCTGCAAACAGGAAGATGGTAGTAATGCTCTCACACATTTCGTGCTAACCCGTGTTGCCCATCTTGAAACTCACTGGGAGTTCCTGGTACCTGCCACACAGCTAGTGAGGGCTCAAACCAACGCTTGTTGGAAGTCAAAAGACCAATAGTGACTATCCTCCTTGGGGCAAGATAAGTTGGGTATCCTTAGAGCTGAAATGGCTCCAAGGTGCCATTTTTGGCAATGGAATGTCAGAATCAATCCAGCATTCTGTAGCGGTCTCTGTATTCCAGTTTCTGAGCCAGGCTGGTCTACAGCACTCCAGGGCACAGCTGATAACAGCATGGCCAGCCTGCCTGATTGACAGGATTTGGAAGGACAGACCAGTCACTGAGGGCAGAGATTTTCCTCATGTAGCTTGTTAACCCCGGCAGCCAAAACCCTAATTGTTAGGGTGGTCTTAGCTGGAGAAGCAGCAGCAAAGCTTGCCAGACAGTGCTTTCAATGGCAACCTGTGTGGTTTTAACTGGTTAGACTCCAGCAGTACACTACTGCACACACTAATTCTGTCGAGAGTATTAATGACCAGGACTCTTTTTAAATAGCAACATAAGATCTTTTTATATCCAGCCAACAAGCAAATGGACCTTGGTTCAACATCTCATCTGAAACAGGGCACCTCCAACAATGCAGCTCTTCCCTTGTACTTGCTTTTAATTACTTACTCAACGGTTGACAATAGATGAACGTGCTACTGACTGAGGCAAGGTGAAATAATATGCTTTGAAACATATTCGTATATGAGAAATGTTATTTATGTATAAATTGTACTTAAGATTTAACATGTTATTTTTCATATTATCAAACTACAGAAGGAGTGTATAACTGGAGTATGAAAGGCAATAGTTTTCCAGAATTCAGTACCTTTGATGATTGCACATGGTGGAAGAGGGGATTCAGGTGTACCTCCATTTGAGACCCGAGATGCCTGGGATAGGGACTCAGAGCTGGCTGGACCAACCCCATGATGTGAAGCCATTGCTTTAAAAAGCTACAGAGCAAATAAAGAGCAAGAATCAAATTAGAACCGTTACTCCTTTTGCACATAGTACAAAAATTACTGTTATTCCAAATAGGTTTGGGAATGTCAAGGCTTGTAGTATGGGTTCCAGTCAAAATTAAAGTTTGCAGCTTCCATAACTACAGAAACACTGTCATAAAAGCAGGACTGAGTAATCACCAGACTGGTGTTGTGCATGAATAAACCGTGCTTAGGATTCACACTGAAGATCTCATGTTTTCAAAAGTCCAATAATGGTGATAACATTGAAGGTGGAAAAATGAAAAATGAATGATAATGAAACAGGGTCATCTTTCTTCTTTGTTCCCATTTGAGAATGAGTTAAACTTATTACTTCACTTTAATCATTATTTCCGAAGCCAAGCAGTATTATTCCAATTTAAATAGAATACATCACCGCCCCCCCCCCCCCCCCCCCCCCCACACACACACACACACACATAGATATCATTGGAGCTGGAATTTCAGACTGTAACAAAGTTATTTCATGTTCCATTGCCTGGCATGCATATCTGAAAGGGAATGGCTGGCAAAGGTACACGAGGGAAGGACATTTGGATTGATTAATTAATTAGATCCATCACAGCATCAAGCTGTTTTTCAAAATGTTTGGGAAACCTGTTGCAGTGTTAATTGCTGTAGAAATTAGAACGACAGAAATTTACAACACAGAAGAAGGCCAATTGGCCCATTGTGTCTGTACTGTCTATTTTACAGTTCAATTCCCTGAAATTCTATCTTTGCTAAAACGTTTAGTCCCTTTTCCACGTTTTCTTTCATTTCTACTTCAGCTCATTTTTCCCACCCCTGGCTATATTAGTTTAAATCGTTCCCCACAGCACCAGCAATTCTCCCAGCAACGAGATTAATCCCAGTCCTGCTCAGGTTATAATAATAATCCTTGCATTTGATATAGCCCTTATCATGTGTTTGATATTGTAGTGTTGACAGTACAACCCAATGCCCCAGAAATCTAAACCCTTCCTTCCGACACCACCATTCCAGCCACGCATTTACCTGACATAGCTTACTGTTACTACTGACAACCACAACAACAACTTGCATTTATATAGCACCCTCAGAGCGCTGACTAGAACATGACACACGCAGCAATGCTGAGGTTACAACACTTGAGGTCCTGCACCTCAGTCTATCTCTTAAACCCTGAAACTCATCTGCAGGACCTGAAGCCTATTCCTTTCTATTTCATTGGTTCCCATATGAAACACGACTGCTGTTCTCCCACTATCCCCAAAATGTTTAGCAGCTATTCTGTTATGGCCCTTTTCCTGGTACCTGGCAGGCAAGACACCATTCAAGACTCACTTTTGCATCTAAAGCAACTCCTCTCTACTATGGAGTTCCGATCACTATCACATTCATGATTTTCATTATTAATCATAATAATCCTTGTATTTGATATAAGGCCTTATCATATCCTTGAGAGGTCTCAAGTGAATTGACTGCATATTTTGTGGGCGAAACGCGGCAGCCAATTGGCACAGCAGTGTCCCCCAACAGTCGTGGATTGAGTGACCAAATTATTATATTATTTTTTCCCCCCTTTGACAGCCATTTTTCCCCTTTGGCTGCCACTGTGGCATTGCACCTGGTTACCTTCCACTGGGTGCCTTGCCACAGATACTCAGTGTCTGATGCATGTCCTTTCCCACACTCGGCTCCATGAGTCTATCCTCGCCCAGTTCCATTGGCTCCACAACTCCCAGCAGATTGTGTTCAAGATCCTTGTTCTCATCTTTAAATCCCTCCATAGTCTTGATACCCAATCTACCTCTGTAACCTTCTGAAAACATAGTGATATGGCCATTCCCCTCGCTCTACAGGCACCGGCCTATTTCATATCCCCTGTACCAATATCAGCTGTTGGGCTTTCAGCCTATCTACCACACTCTCCGGAACTCCATTTCAGAGTCCATCTGACTCGCTCCCTCCATCACCACTTTTGAGGTCTACCTCAAGACCTACCTCTTTGACCATGCCTTCAGTCATCTTGATGTACACCTCTTTAACGAGACGACTCTTCTGAGATATCTACTCTCAAGACTGAAGAGTCGCATCTCCGCCAATGCAACACACCCCTAGGACTGCATTGGAGCATCAGCTTTGACTATGCGAGTTCAAGCCCTGAAGTGTGGCTTGAACCCACAACCTTCTGACTCAGAGCTGAGAGTGCTACCACTCAGTCAGGCTGTACCATGATTCAAATTGCAAACAAGAAAATAAAACTAGTTTCAAAAATGCAGCTTATATAATAGAAATAATCCTTGAATTTGCATATAGTGCTTATACTATTGAAATCTCAAAGTGTTTCACATGGAACTGCTGCCAAGTGTAGTAACTGTACATTTGTAAGTAAATATTGCAGCTATTTTGCATAGCACGTCCCAAAAATATCGACGACTAATTCATCTGGAACTTTGTTGGCCTGTACAGAGATAAAGAGACTAACTGTAACATATGTTCACATCTTACCTGATTTTGTAATGAGTTTTCACGGCTAAACTCTCACATTCACATGCTGACCCAATTCCCTTCAGTGCAGGAGAATATGATTAAGACACTTTTTATACTCAGATCCCAAGAGCAAAGTCTGAACCAGCAAAAAACGCAAAGCACGCACCCACAATAACTAACTGTTGCTCAGGAAGCTGGATATTGTTAATTTATAATCAGCATTTAATGGGAAAATGCTGAGGCTGACAATACCAAATATTACTAAATGATCTGACACACAGAATCATCAGGACAAACAACTCACTGTTTGAGTTTGACACTGCAGACATAATAATCATATTTGCTTTTAAAACCAATTTTTCAAAAATGAACTTCCAGGCTAAGACTAGGTGGAATTTTACATTCCTGTCAAGTTATGGCATATTATAACAACAACAACATTACATTTGTATAGCGCCTTTCATGTTAGAAGGACGTGATTTGCTCCTTGCTATTTACACAGGACAGGAATTAATTAGATTGCTTCTGAAATCACCTATGGCCAGGATTGGGGCTCAACATCCATGCAATTAGCACCAGTTCATAATCTGAAACATAGAATTTCTGTATTTTTTCATAATTAAAGTATATTATTGGTGTGAGAGCAAAGAGAAGATATGAACCAAACTCAAAGAAACAAAAGGATAATCCATCGTGTGATCAACTGACAGGATCCATTTCATAGGAGGGTGGGGTAAAGGGGAAAGTTAAGGTCAAAGGAGACGGAAGAGAGAAGTTTAGCTCATTTCACCTCACCCTAGACTAGATAGACTCTGTTTTGGGGCAAATGGTAATCTGTCTATTGAAGGAATTCATCTGATGGGCTAATTGGCATCACCTTCTTCCATACTTTATTTTGTAACATTGCTTTAGTTAGAAATATACTTATAAAAATAATGCCACGCGTACCTTCATTTTAAAGCTCACCCAACAGGAGTCCGACATGATCGACTCTGTAATCAGATTACTGCAACCACCTTCCCCTCATGGCCTGGTCTATCTTGGCAGTGGTCCATACACAAGGCACGATCATTTTACCAAATGAAACCTGAAATTCACATAAGAATGGAAAACTTGTATGTTACATTGGAATTAAACAGAGTTTTAAAAACTGATACCAAATGCACAGGTACAATGAGCTGAACATTCCCCCTCTATGTATAAAATGTCTATGTTTGTAACGCCATTTGTAATGCTCACTGAAACATCTCAACGTGCTCCAAGCTTACAATCAAGGATAGTGATGTTTTTATAGAAACCTTCCACTCGGATAGTTCCACAGGACTCACTGGTAAATGTATGTTTGCATATTATTCTTTTACCTTTCCACATATAATTAAAAAATTGCATTAGATCGTATCCAATTTTATAAATCCTGTCACTCGCAAATCCTTTCACATCCTGGCACTTCCCTACCTCTCCGCCCTGCTTTCTCCCCAACCCACTACCCTCTGCCTCCACTTCACTGGTTCCAGCCGCCTGCTTGTCCCTCACGCGTACCTTCCGTTCCATCTTTGATGGCCTCGCTTTCAGCCACTATGCCCTGAAACTCTGTAACACGGTCCTTCCAGCCGTCCACCTTGCCCCTTCCTTCCCCATCTTCCGGTCACACCTGAAGACCTTCCTCTTCGACCGTGCCTACAGTCACCTCCCCCGGCTCGGTGTCATGCTCCGCCACTGTCAAGCGCTTTCGGAAGCTACCTGCATGACGAATGCTATATAAATGCAAGTTGCTTTTGTCCTAGTAGACTATAAACTCAAAATGCTGTGTGGTTTCCACTTCAGACAAAAGAAATGTCCATGTTTAGGTAGTATATACATAGCGAACTCTCAGTTTGTTTCTGAATATTCTTAAGCATGATATTCCTAAACATAGGTAAGACTCAACACAACACAAATTCAACACAAATTCCCATTTGTACGACTTGAACCGACAATTGAGCCAGAGGCTGACATCTACATCAACATGTTTAAATGTGATCATGGAATTAGATGCCAAGATTTTTGAACAAAAAAAGGAAAATGTTGCTTGTGTCCATCACCTTAAAATTTACCGCAGCCAACCTGTTAATTGAAGACAAGACAGTCAAGAAGAAGGTTCTGTAAAATGCATTGAATGAGGTCGTTTTTCGCTATTGAAATATACAGCTGTTGGAAATGATGGAACTCACATTTGACTCCATAGTTATCCTACATCATTAAGAAAATAAATATAAGGATAGAAATGTCATACTTTTATTGGAAATATGAGACTAGATTAATCATAATTTTAGGACACTATTAAGAATTACATGTCAATTTCCAGACAGGTGTTAAATGAGTTTTGTGCAGTTAATACAGGAAATTCAATGGGGCAGCATGCCTGAAAGCCTGCCTGCTGATGGTGGACCAGATAGGGCAGAGACATGAAGCGGGCCTGTGTTTGTTGAGTGAAGAGAGCAGTGGAGTCAGTAGAGTCGAAGGAGTCAGTATTGGTGCGGCATGACTGTGGAGGGATCTTAATGTGAGAACGAGGTTCTTGAATTTGATCTGCTGAGGCATGGTGGAGTCCAGGGAGGATGGTGGTGATAGACTGTTGGAACTTGGGGCAGGAGAGGACATGGGATGAAGAATTCTGAATAGTGCTCAGGCTGTGTAGGGAAGACACGGGGAGTCCAACAAATGTTAAGGAACAAAGCAATTTGCATACCAATATTTTTATTTACATTGGGATTGAATTCCAGATATTTACAAATTAGATTTTCTTGTTGCTCAACTGAGGATGTGGGTGACATGCACAGGGCCAGTATTTATTGCCTATCCCTGGTTACTCTGTGAAAGTGGTGGTGGGACTTCTATTTAAACTGCTGTGTCCTTAGGCTCCCATGATGACATTGGGAAAGCAGTTGTAGTGATACCAACTTAACTTTCCTTCTTAAAATGGTGCACATGTCCATTCAGGAAGGTATATGACGAGAGGAACTTGAGGTGGTTTGTGTTTCTATGAGAGTGCTCTTGTTCTGGATGGTGGAGGTTGCAGGGAGACTACATTTGTTGGGTTAACTAAACTTTTGCTTTGCACGTATGGAATTGTATGATTCACAAAAACAAATTGTGAATCCTAAGATCCAGTGTTTCGATCCTGTCTTTTGTTCAGATTTCGTTGTGTTACATGAATTGCAATTCACCACTGACAAATCTCCCAATCCATTGCTTGTAAATCAGAAGTTAGAATTAACTCAACAAATCTGCTTTACGAATGTTACTAATTAGATCTCAATATACAATCATATTGTAGCCAGTGAAAGTGCACAGAGACAGAATCAGTCAACAAAGTACAATAGCCTTGTGAACATCCAACAGCAAATATCGCTGCTCTTAGCAAATAGCAGAGTACTTCCCACTATAGAAGCAAAATAGCACACGAAGACAGAGAGCAATCATCAGGTGCACAGCAAAGAGCAAACAAAGATTAATAACCTCTGTGCCTCAAAGGCAGGAGAATAAATGCACCAAAGCAAACAATTAATGATGTAAATCCTTCTTTTGCATCATTGCTGATATCAGCAGCCGAGCACATTATGAACATTTATTACTAATTACACACCAGAGGACAAGTGAAATGCTGACCCGGACAAAGGGTCTATTAGAACCTGAAGATAGAAGGTATTTGAGTTAGTTTACCAAACAAAAAATAGTAAATGCTCAGCTGTTTCCTTTTTAACTTTCTTTCTTAAATTATTTCTTGTGAAATAATTCAGATATCAACAACAAAATTACATTTGTATAGCGCCTTTCAAGTTGGGAGGACGTCCCAAGGTGCAGGACAATCAGTGTTTCGGACCCGAGCTGGGGGTCGGGATCGGGGAGGGTGGAGGGCAGGTGGGGGAAGGAGGGTGATCGAAGGCACGGTCAAAAAGGAGGGTCTTGAAGGAGACAAGGGAGGGGGCGAGGCGGAGGGACTGCGGGATGGAGTTCCAGAGGGTGGGGCAGAGTGGCTGAAGGACCGCCACCAATGGTGGGACAGGTGAAACGGGGGACGTGAAGTAGACCGGAGCTCTCTGAGCGGAGGGAGAGGGCAGGTTGGTAGGGGGTTAGGAGGTCACAGATGTAGGGGGAGATAAAATTAAAATGAGAGACTTGAGTTAGGTCTTGCATTTGACATGGAATACTATAATTCTTGCTCTTGATTTAGTGCCATTGGGTCAGGAGGATGTCTCAAAGTACTTCACAAGATTCAGTATACTGTGAAATGCAATGACTGTGTATTTTGCAGCGATGTGTTTTGCAATGTCTCACAAACCGAACGTCTACAACAACAACATTCCATTATGTCAGGGATTGTTGGCCAGGAGAACAAGGGAATCTCCTTTCCCTTTTTGAGTAAGGACAAGAATCTTTAATATCTACCCGAACAGTCAGGCTCCATGACTCTATCACCCCCATCTTCGCCCAGCTGCACTGACTCCCCATATCCCACACAACAAAAATTCAAAATCCTTGTCTCGCCTTCAAGGCCCTCCACGGCCTTGCTCCTTCCTACCTGTGTCCTGCTCATTTCAACTTGTCTGCTTCCTCTGCTCAGCCGGCTGTGGCCTGCTCCATGTCATCTGCCCAGCCCACCTCACCATTGGCGGTCGGAGCTTCAGCCTCTCTGCCCCCCATCCTTTGGAACTCCATCCCACATTCCCTTGGGACTTTCTCCTGATGTGAAAGGCGCTATGCAAATGTCATTTTGTATTCATGTATTGGTAGATGAGACCTCAAACCCAGATTGGCTAGATTTAGTGATAAAGATCAATCCCAACTAAATTTATTCCAGGTGAAAACGATGTTAGACTGACCTCCTTTCAATGACTACTCTTTGTGCTTCCTGGACCTCCCTTTATCTTCTTCTTCTCCCTCCCCAATAGGTAAAGCAATCCACCCACTTGGATCATATTATCATATTAACTCATGGAAACTATAATTAACATGGAGGAAAATTATGCCATTGCACTGTTGAGTAAAGCTACTAGGTTGTAAATATGAGTGGAATAATTTAGATGACGGTTTTCATGGCTTGAAAATGTTGCTCAAAGCC